AATTTATAAAAAGAATAAAAATAAAAAAATATCATTACCACTCTCTTAAATAATTCTTTCTTTTGTACATATTATGCTTTTCTCCTTTCGGTAATCTTTAGTATTTTTAAAAGAGAAAAACAAAAAAAAACAGAAGAACAATCGACGCGTGCTGTTTTCTCAAAATATTTTTTTTTTCCATATTACGCTCTTTTCTAATATTTTATGTAGAAAAGAAAACTGTCGTTGTATAGAACTGTCGTATATATGTATATAGAATTGTCGTATAATATGGTATGTAAGAGTAAGTTTTTGTATTTTAATATAGGCGATTATTCTATTTGAAAAAAATATTTCATTTCGATCATATCATTAGTTTAAATTAAAAATTGATAAGAACACCATAGTGTTGCGTGCTTGTCCCGAAGTATGCCACAAAAAATAAAAGCAGTGATACTCCAAATTATATTGCTGAATTTATATTTAAACTCTGCAGTTTATTATTAAGCAATTTTAAGCAATTTTACTATACAAAAATTATATAATAATTAATCTTTTATAACGTTTTATTAATAAAATAAATTGAATGTTTTTATTCCATTTGTCCTATAATGGAACATCGAACACCAAAAAATTAAAATAATAAAAATTTTACTTTTGTATATACTCGTATGTATAGGTTAAGTAATTTTAATTTAATTGTTTGTAAATCTATTCATTCACGGTAATTAACCTAGTGCTATTAAAAAAATTTAAAATTGATTGGAATTCAATTAAATACTATATTAAATAATTGTTTTACTCAGTTATCGTTATTATTGTATGATTACTTTAAAAATTCTTAAAATATTTTATGTACATATATACATATAAATTAATCAATGTAGTATTGTACTGAATGAAAAATTATAATATGTATTTAATTACATTATAGATTTTCCGTATAGATTATTCAACCAAAAACAAATATATTATAATTTATGACAAGCTATTGAAGGATTTGATTTTAACTTATATGCACATTAACATGTGTATATATATACATATACATTGTGTCTGTTCAAATAAAACTGAAGAAAATATCCACTGTTTATAGTTTTCAGTTTAAATGAAAAATTATTTCAATATTATAATTTGTGAATGCATCTTTTATCTCTTTTACAATATACATACATATAAAATATATTTTATTGAATCAATATTGAATTCATTCACTGCGGGATATCCTTAAAAATATATGTATAAATATAAAGGTATAAAAGAATTTTTGTATTATGATTTTATTTTTATATTTTTCACTATTTAATCTTTTATTATGATAAAGAAAAAACAACTTATCTTGCTTGGTGGTAGTTAAAATTCTTATAATATTAAAACCAACAAGTTGTATAATATCGCTGTTGTCGTGCGGTGTCATATAACCATTTATATATAAAACATTTAAAAATGTCATCAATAAATTCATTTACAGTGGCACTATTTGGTGACGAAGATCTTTTTCCAAATTTACCATATACCATATTATTATAGTTTATTAAATATAATATTATCTTATATGAATATCAAAAGATTTTTATCATGAAAATCATATTTTTTTGATAGCATTATATTTATGTTGTATAAACGTACATATATAACAATAGTCTATAATAATTATACAAACATGTATAATACGTGCTTACTTATGAATATAATATAATACACGTACCATTTTTGTGAATTTAAGATTCCATTCAAATTGAATTTGAATTAATTATATACTCGTATTTGAGAAAATACAAGATTTATGTAAACCTAATTAACAACAATAATAATAATAATGTGCACATTTGTATATATTAATTATTGAATCATTAATTATATAATATATAAAAATATTGTATTATTGTTACTTAAAGTAATTCCTTAAATAATCATTAAAATATAGAGCGTAGAATCAAAAATGATAGTACTGAAAAAATTGTTGAAAATTGAAAAAAAAAAGTAAAAACGTTTCAGTCAGTATAAATCGACCGAATTATACCCTGCACGTTAGCAATCTGAGCTTAAAATTTATTTTTGAAATATCTAGAATTAGCTCTCATTGTTATATACCAAGTATTCAAACCTAAGAAACCACTCTATAGAAACTGCATGAATATGGTTGAACTATAATTGGAAACACAACTGCCAAGTTTCATGAATTTAACTCTATTATTTTCCCAAATTATTAAAATTTTCTTATGGAGTTGTATGGCAGCTACCCGAATCTGTTAGGTCATTCCAACAAAACTTCTGGAATACATGTGACCAACAATTGAACAAATGACTGCCAAGTTTCATGAATCTAGCTTTATTATTTTACCAAGCACTTAAAATTAGCTTTTGGAGCTGTATAGCAGCTACCCAAACCTGACAAGTCATATCACCAAAACTTCAGGGATATATGTGACATATATGTAATTGGACACACGACTGCCAAGTTTCATAAGTCTAACATTATTATTTTCTCAAATATTTAAAGTTAGCTTTTAAAGTTGTATGGCAGCTACCCGAACCAGTGCAGCCATTTCATCAAAACTTTCAGAACATATGTAGAATGTAATTGGACACATCTTTTCAATATTTAATAATGTTATCTTAATTATTTTTTGAAATATTTAAAGAAACCTCTTTGAGTTGTATGGCAGCTACCCGAACTCGTTGTCTGAATTGTCTCAATTATAACAGCAGCCCGTCGTTTGCGCATAAAAAAAAAACAACTTGTGAAAGTTTGGTATCGATTGCATTATTCGTTTTTGAGTAATCGTGTGTAACAAGCAAAAATTAAGGAAATTTCGAAATCAAATTTAGACACACATTTCATTAACGTCTATAATTAATCATTTGAGTTTTTATAGTTATCTAAAAAAAATCTAATTGAATATTTTAAATTCACTTTTCAAATTTTTAATCAATATAAATTTACTAAAATTTTAGGCAAAAAATATGGAAAATCTTGATAGAATTGAAGAAATTTTCTATACATATAGAAAATCAGAAATGGGAGAATTTCGAAAAATAAACAAAATGGAAAAATATACGGATTTTAACAAAAAGCCCTCATATAAATTTCAAATAAAACCTGAATTTAAACCAAAAAATATTTATACTAAAAATATAATTTCAATTAGGCATTTGACAACGCCTGATAGTTTACTTGTATTATGTTGTACAATATTAAGTAAAATGCCTCTTCCAGATGCATTTTGGTGGAATAATTTTAAAGTTATAAAATGGATTGAAAATTTAGGATTTCCGCAATATAAGGTGTAAACTTCTGTTATTTACCCAACAAAATAACATAAAATTTTTGTTTTTAATTTTAGTCAAGTTTTTTTGAAAATCAAATTACCGGTTTGAATTTACTTTTTTTGGAAGCAAAACATTTACAAAAAATGAACATTAAATTATTTGATGATATTCAAATTATTACGAAAAATATCCGTTCAATTTATGGCATTGAAATGATTCAATTTTCAAGAAGTATATCACTGCCACCTCGTTTACCATTAACACATTATTTTTATTATCGGGCACATACAGGATACAAATATAATGAAGCGAAACCATTTAAACTTTGGAATTCAATGAAAATATTAAGAAATTTACCAAATTATTATGAACATTGGGATTTATTGTATGAAACGCTTAATAACCGACGAAGGAATTATAAAAATCCGGAAATTTTAGCTTTTTCTTCAAAATTTAATTTATATAAAATAAAAAATTATAGAAAAATAGAAGACATGAGAAAACCTACACGACATATTTCAATTAAACAAGAAAATTGTAAATGCACTTTATTGCCTTGTACTTGTGATGAAACCTATACAAAACCAATTCGTACAAAACCATATAAATTTTTACATAAGATTAATGAAAAAATTGAATTAAGAAAAAAATTTGATTCTATTAAAGAAACAGAGCATGGGTTATGCCAGTGTAAAATTTTTTGTACCTGTAATTTAATTGTAGATACAGTAAAATCAACTTTGACAATATTAAGTAAAAAACTTCCTGAAAAATATGGACCAACAATAGTAACTTTACCTCATATAATTCAAACAGAGAAATCTTTTAAAAAGGGAAAAATCTGTTGATGTTAAATTTTTATAATAAATATAAAATTTCTATAATAAAATTTTGTTGGAAAAATTTCTTCAATAAAACTGCTTTTAAACTCTACTTCTTTAAAAACAAAATAAAAATTTTCTTTCAAAAAACTGCAAACAAATAAGATGTACATACAACATATATATGAATGGGTGCAATAAAAACAAAGATGTATGTACGTAAAAATTTTATCATAAATGTGCAATAGAGTGAATAGTTTATATTTTGAATAGCATTAAAGAACGAGTATATAAGAAAAATTGTAACAATAAGTATTGTAATTATTTCATGCTTAGTGACATAAACGAACCAAAATTGTTTGGAAAAACTACAGAAGGGTTCAAAATTTATGGTGTATAATGAAGAAATCATTACAAATTCAAACGGCGCTTGATAGTAAAATTGAAATATGTATGTATGTATTTAAAAAATGTTTAAATTTTTAAAAGTAGAAGCGAAAACTACATAATGTGTAGTAACAAATGTGTATTTATTTTTTAGTAAAAAAAATGGTATTTTAGAATTGTGAATTAAAATTTTTAATATTTTACCATCACCGGAGTCTGATAGCAATATATACATACATATATGTAATCTTTTGTGATAGTATAAAAATTTATAATTTTTAGTCATACATTTTTATTCCTCTTTCATAAATTGATTTGAGAAACAAATTATACCCCTATGTACACCTGTAAAAAATTATCAACTGATTCACTAAGGTATAACAACTTTAGTTTTTTCTTTATTATTATAATTGATCATTGTTGTATTATTATGAAAAATGAACAATACTAATAACACTAATGTTAAATTCAGCATAAAACAATAAATCTATTTAGGAAAAAAATAAATTCAGTTTTTGTAAAGACATGACTTAAAAAAGACGTTCACGGTATATCTGTTAATTTAAAAATATTGTTTGAGTCCAAAAAATGATATTGTTCAAAAGTGGTGCTTTACATATTTTTACATTATTCTTAGTTGTTATTTTAATATTATTATGGGAGATAGGAGAAATACAATCTAAAGAAATTGCTAAAAGGGGTATTATGGACAATATTAATAATGGAATACGTTTTGCAGGGCAAATTTTTGGTAAATTTAATATTTAAAAAAATTTTAAATAGCCAAATATTACAAAAACAAAATAAACTTTACAACATACGTTTACATATTTGAAAATTCAACATCAAAAACATTAAAAACAAATGTACCTATTACCCATATTTGTATTTTACGAAAAAAAATTATCTGTAGGTATTAATAATGCTGCCGATGTTGCTAATTTAGTGGCAAAAGCTTTTGCACCTAAAACTTTCCAAAAACCAGAATATTCTGCTAATAACCTTAACACTGCAGAAACTTTAAATACTGGCGAAACTGAGCAATCATATTCTATATATCAAAATGCAAAACAAAGCGAAAATGAAGATACCGAACCAACGCCCTTAAACACAGGTTTTGTGATTGCGAATATGTTAAAACTAATGGGTCTAGATACAGCAAAGTTAGGAGCTTTAGCTCTTAATATCATTATAGTGATAGCACAGATGGTAACTTTAAATTTACATTTTTATGCATACTACACTCCTTTTTTCGATGCTAATTAATTTGAAATTATTTGAAATTGTATTTAGATTGGAAGTACTTTTACCCAAAATCAAAGTTCAAAAATTCATTCACCTGAACAACATTTAGACTTAGATTCTGGGAGACAATCGAAAATATCAGATCCAATAAATGATTATAAAAGCAATATTTCGGATACAGACAAGTTAAAACCTGGTTCACCATTTGATTGGATTTTGGAAAATCCATCGGAAGAATTAAAAAAATTGCTTCAACAAATTAGAGATGAAAAATTACCAGAATATTTTATTAGTCAAATAAATGAGATAGAAAAGGAAAGTGGAGAAGGAGATTGTATTAAAATTCTAATTTGCAAAATTCAACCATTCTTTTGGAGTATGCAAAAGCAAGTTATCAAACGTATTGATGGTATTCAAAATGAAGAAAATGAAAGTGAAAATGATAACAGAACAGATGTGTTCTATAAATATTTGCCAACTCTTAACGATTTCAAAAAACATGGAGATTTATGCGAAAAGAAATTTCCAAAATGTAATTTTTATGTAAGATCACGTTAAAACTGGCTTAAATTTGATATTTCAGACAAACTCATACACTCAATTTTAAAAGAGAATTAGAATATAGCAAAGTTATCGAAAAAAATATTAGCTAATTATTTTGCTCATTTGTTTTCTTTTTCCATTAAAAAATTTTGCTAACCGTACAATTTGTTATTTAAGGCAAATAAATCAAATAAAAAATTATTTATTTCGTTTCTTTCTCCTGCTTTGTTTCTTCTGTAGTAGTTGCTTTAGTGGCCGTAGTACTATTTTCTAATTGTGTTTGTAATGCCTGCAATTTTTCTTTATTAAATTCCTTTTTAGCTTCATCTAATAAAACGTTATGTAATAAGTTCCTATTTAAACTATAATCGGGCAATAGGGATGGGTAAGGATTTCCTCTTAATTCTAAAACGGATCTACTATATCCTCGTTCCTGATATTCCCTCGGTGCTCTATAGATTTTAGTGAAAGAAGTATTGCAATTCTCAAATCTGGGAACTAATACTCGGAATAGCTTATACATTAATGGCTTTTCGGTCAACCAATAGTCTGCTATTTCAACAGTTGGTCTGTGATTCTCACCATAACGTATCGCATCAGAAATCAACTGCAAGAAAATTATTATGTGCAATATTACTTCGAATTTGTAATGATTGAATAAAAATCATAATTTGCTCTATTTTTTAAAGTGGTAAAATTAAAACTTACTCTTTCAGCATAACCTCTTGCTTCATCAGCACGATTATAATTTAATTCAATCCTTTCATGTTTAATTAATGCCGTAACAGTTTTTCGAAGTTTGTTTAACCTTCCTTCGGGACCATCTTTATTCTTCAAATTTCGTTGGCGACTTCGCACAGCAATTTTTAATTGAGACACCAATTTCGTTACATCTGCTTGATTCATACTTTATATATTATTTATAAATATTTTGGAAAATTTATCATGTAGTTTTTAATTTCTTCACTTAATTTAACCAACATATGTCATTGTCAAAAACATGAATAATGAGTTCACAATAGTAAAATTCTTAAAAAAATTGTCAAAATTTTACAATAGTAAAATTTATAAGAAAACTGTCAAAAATTCGTAGTTCCGTAAAAAAGCTGTCAAAATTGAAATTAAATTTCGAATTCGAAAAAACGGTTTTATTCAGATAATAAAAACAATATGTTTATGAAAATACAAACAAAAACTTTTTTTTCTTAATTTATATTGCTAACTTACATATATTATACAATTATGATTCTATATTTTATGTCAATTATCATTTCATATTTCGGAACAATAAAAAAAGATGTCAGTTCCTTGAACGTGGCTGTAAGAGCCTTTTCTGTAGAATTTCTGTAAAGTTATCGTTGTTGTATTTTCATATTCCAGCTGTTTTCTCAAAGTCTATTGGGATTATTAGTAAATAAATTCAAATACTATCACTATCAGTGAAATGATTAATATTTTTAAAAATACTCTTTTTTTTACCAAAAATCCTCCGTTGAGGAAAATATTACAAAAAAAAATCTTATTGTCCAAGCACTCTATACTATTTTATCAAAAGAACTGTTTTGCAAGCCAAAATGTTTTATCTAAAGGTGAAAAAGTTCAGGATGCCGAAACTATAGTAAAACTCAAAAGAGATCCTGCAAATAAGAAGAGCAAACAAGATTCTTTTAAAGCACAAGGATTCTTTAATGTTAATGCGTATACAACTGCAGAAGAATATGATCTTGAAAATTTACTTCTCGGAATAGAAGAGCAGGAACTATATACTCCCAAAAAGTTTTTCTCGACTGATTACTTAGGTGCTCAACAAGATGTTTTATATGTTCGTGCTAAATATGAAGTTGATAAAGAGCCAAGAGATATATTTTTTTTCCGGGAAGGTGTAATAGTATTATGGAATTGTGACAGCCTGGAAAATAACAATGTTTTAAATTTTATTAAAAATTATGAAAAGGATCGTTATTTAAAACCATTAATTCAAGGTGAAAGTGAAGTAATGCCTTACGCTTATGTATCTGAAAATGAAAAAGCTAAATTCAAAGATTCTACATTTTATTTGAGTCAACAGGAAGACAATTTCTTAGAAAAGTACACATTTTCAAATGCTCTTTCAACTACAATAAAATTGGGAATTTGGGAAGCAATATTGGATCGCTACATAAATAGCTTGCATTTTATTACTGAAGACCTAAAAAAAGGACGGAAAATAAAAATTACTAGAGCAGAACTTTTGCGGAAAACCGGAGAATTATTTGCTCTAAGACATTCAATTAATTTAAGTTCCGATCTTTTAGATACTCCGGATTTTTACTGGGATCGTGAAGAACTAGAAAATTTATATAACCAAGTTTGCAATTATTTTAGCATTTCCCGAAGGACAAGAGTTATGAACGAAAAACTTAACCATTGCATTGAACTAGCCGATTTAGTAAGCTCCAATCTTAATGATGCCCATCACGTTCGTTTAGAGTGGATGATAATCATTTTGATTATGGTTGAAGTAGCATTTGAAATAGTTCACTATGCCGATCGTTATTACGAATCAAAAATGGAAGAGGATAGACTGCAAACCAATTTAATTTCACAGTAATTATTTGTCGGAAAAAGTCATGACGAATTTAATGTGTTTTATTAAATTTTTTTTTTCAATCGATAGCTAAAAGTAAACATTTTTTTAAACTTACTGTAATTTAATAATTTCTTATCATTGTTTTTAATTATACTACAATTGTATATTTTATTTCACTGATTCAACTCAGCATCTATGTCGGACCAAAATAGCTCCGTTTCAGATTCCGCCTCATTAGCAGGAGATATTTCTACTAATTCAAAAGAAGGGTATTCGACGACCTCGTCTAAAGATGGTGTAGTGTAAGAATCAGGCTGTTTGTTAGCATTTCTTGCTGAGGGGTTTCCGATTGCATTTAATCCAGCTAAGGCTTGCGAATTCGTTGGGTCCATGCTTGAAAAAGAATTTAAATTTCTCTTACAGTTATTTTAATTGTATATGTTAGTATATATGATTACTTTAAAGCTGTTGTATAATTATCTAGGGCGCCCTCCATGTCGTTTTCAGTGGACAAAAGATCTCCCAACACAGAATACAACCAACAATTTGGGTGATAAGACACTTGTTTTCTTAACAATTTAATAGCTTCGCCAGTTTCACCTTCTTGTTGCAATATTTCAACCTTAAGTTGCACCGCCTGGTAATTGTACTCATCCAAAGCTAAAGCTTTATCTATAAACGACTTAGCCTTCTTTTTACCCGTGGGGTCTTTCGACAGCATTAAAGCTCTGGCTAAAAGCTAGTAAAAAGCTAATGAATAAAAATTAAGTGAGATTAAAAAAAATTCTTACAACATAACTTCTTGGATCGTTTTTAAAAGATCTTATAGAATGTGCAGCCATAGTTTGGGCATGCCTAAGTCTTCCTAGGGCAGAAAAGCAATGTGTTAGAGCTTTATAAGTTTCAAAACGATATCTAGCTAAGCTTTGAGCAGTTTTTAAACATGTTAAAGCTATATTCAATTTTTTAAGCTGACAAAATATAAGCCCTTTTAATAAATGTGCCTCAAAATTCCTAGGATTTTCCGCGATTGCCTTTTGAAGAAAATAAATAGCCTTACTATGTTTATCATGCTTATCTTCAGCTTTTAAATGTTGTGCTGCTACAAACCAATTTTCAGAGGAATATTCAATTATTGGCATTTGTGGCGTTGCAAGTTTTTCTAGCTCCTGGAATTTATTTTTTTTAGCATAAAGTATAGACAAAGCCATAATACCATCTGTCATTTGAGGGTTTGTCATATATGCTTGTGATAAATAGTTCAATGCCATATCCGAATTGTCGTTGTAGAAATAGCATTCCCCAATCAAACTTAATAATTTATCATTATTTCTTAATTTTGAGTTTTGATTAATAGTTTTGAATGTTTCAGTTGCTTCAGTCAATTTACAGTTAAAAAGAAGATCATATCCTTTTATCCAAGAAGCTAACCAATCTGAACATTGAGGTGAGCTGCAAGCTAAAAAAATCATTAAAATAAACCATGTATGGTTCATGTTAAGTCATAAATATTAAATATAAACTTTATTTTACCATTAATAATAATTGAATTCACTTCGTGACCGTTTACACCTATTTCTAATAAGCATTTAATTGTATCTAATGCTAAAGGACATTCAAAAAGAACTTCTTTATAAGAATGAGTAGCACTGTTGTCATCAGTTCCATAAACGTGTTGCAATTTCCCTAACAGGTAATTCATTTTGGGACTTTTATTTTTAATTGAATGAAGAACGAAAATTGCTTTTTTCGGTAACTGCATTTCTTTTAGACATATTGCAAAGCGGTATTTACTTTCAGTGTCTGAAAAATGTTCGTATGCTTGCTCAATTAGAATTAAACTAGCGGCTTTGGACCGTTGCAAAGATTTTCTAGTTTCTATGACATCTTTGAAATATTTAGCTGCAGTGTTATATTTTCGTTCAATAAATGCAGAATTTGCTTGGAAAAGCAACAACTGATATTCTTGTTCCTGTGTCAAAATACTGCGGTCATTTTTGAACACTGTTTGAAGAATATTAGCCTACGATTTGAAAATTCATTAAATTGATCGGAAATATGAAAATAATTAGTTTTTGCTCACCAGCATCAAAACTTCTGAATACAGTTCATAATCATATAATTTCTTAACATTCATAAAAAGAGTATTATCCATTTTATTCAAATTTTAAACCAACAACTAATTTATTTTGTTTTGTTTATAATTTGATCAAATAATGACATATGCTTCATAACAAATTGAATAGAGTTGTCAATTTCAAAAAATTTTAGTAGATATTTTTTTACTATTTCAATATGTACAGGTAAATAATTAAAAAAAAAAATTGGTAAAAAATCAGCAATCATTTTCACTTAAATTTTTGTTCTTCCTATTTCGTCTAGTAAAATTTTCTATCTACCCCTTCTTTAAAAAAAATTATACTTTGGAACTTATATAGCTCGGCACCCATAATAATATTTGTAATATGATAACCATTGGAAATATTTGTCATTTGAATGACATTATTTTTGATCTTGTTTTTTCCCCAACCCTCCATTTTCTAAATCAAGATGAAAACAGAACAAGAGCTATTTTCCGTGGCGGGATGCGGAAATTCACATAGAATACGGATTTATAAATGGGATTATTCAGAATGAAGCGAAATTATCAATGGAATTGGATTACCGGCCATGAAAGATTCCAAAAAGCAACTTCATGTGCTGGGGAATTTTAGACATTAGCTGTTTTAGCTGATGTCTGTGATATTATATGCAAAATACTGATTTTGGCGTTCCGCTGTTGTTTTGTGTGAGCAACGTAAATTCTTCGTCGTTTTCATTCTCCGTTTTGGATTTGTTTTAATACTAAGTTTTTCGGCTTCTTCAAATAAATTAAATATTATTGAAGAAAAACTGAAGAGGAACAAAGAGGAATAAATTACAAAATAACTCTTTGACTCTGTGCAAAAATGTAAAAATGTTAGCAAAAGAAAACTTGGCTATGTGCCATAATTTTTCCCTAAATAAACTTGGTTTTCTGCAAATAAGACTTGTTGTTCACCGTTATTTTGCAAGTCAGAAAAGTCATATGTAAAATGACGTTTGTCATTTGATATATTTAATGTATGTATATTCAATTTATAAAATTCATTAATCAAAAAAATGGCTGCTCATAGTGGAGGAGTAGATTGGGCTGCAATTATAAAACCTTTTATTTTATCGAACAATTATGGGAATTTAAATAAAACAGATATAATAAACATTATTAAGGCAATTTTAAAAGGGTAAGTTTTTCAATTCAGTATTAGGATGATTTTCAAAAATAGTTGTAAAATTTTTTATAAAGCTGCCATTATGAAATTCCGAATTGATTTTTTTTTCTAATTGTAGGGAAAATGAGTTTTTGGATCATGATTCCACTTTTGGTCAATTTTTCATGGCTTTTTCAGCGCTTGCAGCTGATGCAATTAGTGGCCAATGCAATTTAGGTGAGATTAAAAATTTTTTAAGAAAAAAAAAAAAATTTTTTCCTTTATGATTCATCTCAAACTATTTGACAATGAATTGTGTAATTCTAAATTGATCCTTTTTCATATTTCGTAGTTTGCCAACAGCAAGTACCGCAAATGATTGAAGCAAGTACTATATTGATTAAATATATATTAAATCGAATAAGCAAATCATCAGTAAATGATATTCTATTACTGTTACCACCGCTTAAAGGTCTTTGTGACGGAAAACAACAAACTACAAGCTTTGATAATGCAATTGTAAGCTCGTTACTAAAAAGTTCCAAGTTTCCGGAACATTCTAAAAATAACGTTACTAGCGGTGATAAAGATAGCCCAAAATCGGAAATGAAAAGATCGCGTTCTGATTTATCAACTGTAATATTGCAACAATTAACAACGCCTTTAGGAGCTAATACCGTAAATTGTTGGGCACCATTAAGTGAAGAATTAACTGATTGCACAGTAAGTCGATTTTTTTATTTTGAATTTCTGAAATTTATTAAAATTACATCAATTTTGTAGCAAATGTTTACAGTAGCAAACATAGCCTGCTTAGAATCATTAAATGCGGGAGATATAATATTAGAAGTTTGCTCTTCATTACCAATTTTGTCCAAATATAAACTTAAATATGAGGATTGTGCCTTGCATGGAAAGCCTCTTTATTTGCCATTAACAGCATCAGAAGCAACTCAACTAAAGAATCTGTTTCCACAAATGTCTACTGATATCAAAATACTGTCTCAAGCTTTGTCATTACCAATTTTAGAGCCATTAACTCCAAAGAAAATCTTGCAGTTGTCTCAATGTGCAATGTCGGCTTTGTATTGTGGAGTATTAGTTTCCATTTCTGGTAGTGTGTTGTCCATGTCAACGGGATATTCTTCACAAAAAAATCAACAAAGTTCGGCGAGTGCTATTCAACCACAAAAAGATAATGATGAGCTAGATGATCATGCTCGGGTTATAGTAGATAAAGCCTTGGAAATTTTTACAACTATTGGAGATTTATTTAGAAATTCAGCGCGGAGTCACATATATCAAAATCATTTATGCTTCGGAGCATGGTTGCTTGTCACAGGAATACAAGGAGCTATGGGAGCTTCTGGAAGTTCAAGTTCAAAACAGTCACATGATGAAAAAGGCAAAAGCCCCGCTAGAGTTAGTGGATTTGGTTCATTGGAGCAACAAATTCCATCTGCTCGTGTGAATTTGTTCAAAGTCCAGCAAGGATTTGGCGTGCTAAATGCAGCAATTGCAAATCATAGTTTAATTCTGTTAACAGAGTTAATAGAAGATTTGAAAATAGAAAGTCGATCTGGTGAAGAAAACAATCCAAATCAATCTAATATTAATGCTAGTGAACCTGCAGGTTTTGAGATCTTAGAGCAATATACTTCTTTGCAAAGAGTTGTGAGAGTACTGAATTCCACAACTTTACAACAACTGTTAACATTTTTAGCTACAGTATCTTATCGAAAAGCATGTAATTTGAAGCGATCGAACTTAAAAGACCGGACGGAGTGTGACCCAATAAGTTATTCAGATTCTACAACATATTTCAATGACACGCTTTCTTGTTCAGATGATTCAGAAACAGAAGAGGAAGATAGTGAAAGTTACTTGGGTTTGTGGTTCAAAGAAACATTATCTCCCGAAGCAAACGACGAACCAGCAGAAACTACTGGACAAGACAAAACAAGTGAACCACCCAAATCTAACATGGTTCCGGTAAAAGACGAACCGCATGAATACTTAGATTTGTCTTCCCAAATATTTTCATTCTTGGATCAATCTCTTGGAACAAATCATAAATTTTTGAATAAATACGTTGAATCTGGTTTGAGCGAACAACAAATGGTTTTGTTAGCTAATATTTTAAAAGATTTAGATCGTGATGCAGCAAGAGGAGAGCCAGATAATACGGCATGTATGCAGTGGCAAACAGCTATGATAAAATTTTCTGGTGCTTTAGGAAGATATTTGCATAACCTTATATCTGGTTCGTTATTAAACGAAACGTTACAGTCTTCGCTTTTATTGCATTTGGGCGTATCACCGTGGACTCAGGATACAAACATTTGGCCTTTACAAGTTTACTCCAGGACTTTGTCAGTTTTAGTACAAATTTTATTACTGAAACCTACGCAAGAGAAAGAAGCTGCATGTTTATCAGTATGGCATCGTCTTGTAAATACATTGGTGGAAGGAGTTTGCTCATCTGGAAATTTAAACCAAAATTCTGAAGATTATGAAGATTTAAACGTTGAACATGCGCAACTTTTATTATTTTTGTTTCATTCATTGAATTTAATGCAAAAGAAATCGATTTTGCTACTAACTGCTGGTGGGGTTATAAGATGTGCTGAAGTTTGTAGGAGCTTTTCGCCGGAAAAACCTTTGAGAGATAATCAATTAATGTTATTATCACGATTGTTACTTTTCCTGGAGTATTTAATGAAGCATTTATACAACGCTCCTATAGTTTTGTTGGAACAAGTTCGTTGGAATCTATTTAGTGTAATAACATTAGATGCTAATCAAAAAGTTTCCGATCTAATTAACAATAAAACAAAAATGTTATCTTTTTGTCGCAAAGACATTGAAGACCGATATAGAAAATTTTCAACAGAATATGCTAATGGTACGTTCATATAAAATTCTGGTTAAATATTTTCTTTGTACATATGTTTAATTTTTTTTTTTAATTTTAGCAATTCGGCCAAAATTCTATTCCCTAGCTATAATAGATTCAAAAACACAGCAAGAATTTAAGCTTGATGGTCTTGCTTGGAACTTTATATTATGTACCCCAGACAAGTTAAAATATCCATTATTAGTTAATGCCTTGATTGACATACTTTCGGTAACAGATATTTGTATGGCTAAAGTTCCTGTTCATAGTTTGTGTGCGGTACACTATTGTTTTAGTCTTTGCTGGAAATTATTGTTAGGATTGCCACCATCGACTCCGCATGTTGAAGCGTTAATGAATGAGAAAGTACCAAACTTACATTCTTTAATTTGGTCAATAAGATGTTTAAACCCTCAACCAAGCTCACATTACCTTATAGTTAATAGTTTGGTCAAACAAGGAATGTACACACAATCCGCAGAAACTTTGTGGAGCAAAGTAATAGAACATGTTGGAGATACACGTTATAGTCTAAAAAATAGTATATTAGGAATAGAAAATTTCAGCAAAACTTTTAACACTCGTAAGCATAAAGATTAACTAATATTTTATGAACATTTCTAAAAACTTGAATTTTTACAGAAAATCCGAGAATATCTAAAATTGTGCTTTTGGATGCAATTATTTCTCATATGCATGCTATATTTTGGGCTGAAAGAGAAGGTGTAAAACCATCAAAATTGAATCCTTCTAGCAGTGTGAATTCATCATCACATAGCAATTCACCTTCACCATCTTCATCGACAACATCTGTGGGTGCTCTTGTTGAGCAAAATGCTGCAGTAACCGGTTCCGATTCAGAAAACGTGGAACAAGAAGGCATTTCAAAAGATGATTTATCACGAGATCTACTTTCTAAATTATTAGACTCAATGGAAATTCTTCGTGATATCACTTTCAAAATAATGACACAAAATTTGACAGGCCCAATAAACTCTGAAATTTTGAACAATTTAATCTCTATAGCTGGAAGTAAAAGTTCATATTCTACAGAAATATCAAATCAATTCATTAATTTATTATCCGGCACTGATAAAGACATTATTAACGGCGAATGGAAAAAGCAATTAAATATTTCTGGAGAAGAAAATTTCACTAGCGGACATTATCCAGCGGAGGGCCACACTTTGGGCGTTATCGATGGCCATTTACAGGAAATATCAAAAAATGCAAATTATTCTATTCTGCTATCATTGAAACATGCTTTAAAATCAACTGTTCATTTAATTTTTTACCTTTTACCTTCATGCAAAAATAATCAAGATATAATGAATCATTTAAAGGAAATTTTAATTCCATTTTTGTTTGATATTCGAACAGAATATATTTTCGAAATTTCCAACAAATGTGTTGAGGCTATGTTAAGTGGAGAAAATAGTATAGATGATTACCAATTTTTCGCTTACAGTAATATTTTGAAATATTCGTATAAAGTCTTAATAGATTATTCAGAAGAGTCTCGTCAGGGTAAAAATGTAAATTTAGATGAAACAATATTAACTACAATTCTAAAATCGTATGAAAAAATGCTTGAAAAACCTATGGGAATGAAAGCGATGCAAGATTTTTTTTACGTAAAAAAATCTGGCTCATTAATAGAACTTTTGCTGTCTTTTACCAATACTCAACTTTCGCAAGGATATTCAACAAAAATCTTGCAGTTTTATGAAAAATTGTTCCAATATGCAGAAAAATCAGATTCCAAATTTTCGATGGATGAGTTATCGCAATGCATTTCAGAAATGGGGCAAATTGATATAAGTAAATTAAAAGTATGGCTCAGCCATATTCTTTTAGGACCCGGAAATCTTAATCAAATCCAGCAAGCATCAAGTGGTACTTCTAGTAACGCCCAAACACCCACTAATATGGCAACAGTTTCGGCAATACCAAGCATATCAGATCAAATTGCGGCTCATTCATCAGAAATGGAACCAGAAGATATGGAAGTTGATTATGATTGGACTGGTGGAGCGACTGGTGCCGGTGCTACCGTAGCTACTTTGCCAAGTAATAGTGGTGCCAGTGGTTGTGGTGCCCAAAATTCAGCCACGGGAGGTGTGCAAACTTCAAGTGCATGGCAAGTCAATAGTTTCCTTACCAACAGATCAGAAACTTCTCCAAATGATGAGTGTGTTGAAGAAAACGGTCGTTTATTGCAAAATATTACGAAATATTTAGTGGTTGAAAGTAAAATTTGTTCAACGGTTTCAACGGCATTATTTCAGGCTTTAATTCATCTTGGCCAGAATTTAGTGTCGTCGTCTCAAGACGTTTTAGATTTTACAGATTTATTACTAGTAATGGTTACTTTAGCTGATGCTTCCCAAGGTAAGTTAAAATTTTTAAAATAAAATTTTCATTCTTCACCATGAACAAAAATTATTTTTATTCTTTAATACAGGAAAAGGTCATGGTTTGTTATTCCCAGCTGCAGTATCATGGCTAGAAGTTTCTAAATGTCATGTTCTCGAAAAACAATTGAATAAAAGTCAACCGACTACAACAAAAGCTCATATTTCTCTCGAAAATGTTATTTCATTGCTACGATATATGAGTGATCTTTTACAGGGCTTGGGATATAAAGGTAGTCGATCTCTGACTCCGCCATGGGAAGAAGAAATGCAGGCTGATTTTGAAGATATTTTAGACGACTTAGGTGGTGATGAGGAAGATAGTGCTGTAGAAGATTCTGATGAAGATAGTCTCGGGAATAAACTTTGCACTTTTTCGCAAACTCAGAAAGAGTTCATGAACCAACACTGGTACCATTGTTATACTTGTAACATGGTGAATTCAGTTGGGGTTTGTTCAGTGTGCGCTAGAGTGTGTCATAAAAATCATGATGTAAGTTATGCAAAATATGGAAATTTCTTTTGTGATTGTGGCGCAAAAGAAGACGGATCTTGTCAAGCATTAACTCGACGGGTAAATACTTCTAATACACAAGAAATTACAAATGCTGGAGCGTCTTCCTCAAATAAAATGTTTGACTCATTCAATGATCACTCAAACATTTCAAGAAAACGGATTATAGCACCACCTTCACAAATTTTAACACCAAGCATTAATGGAACTACACGAATAGAAAATTCTAATGATCGTACTACAAACTTTTACATGACAAAAATGATTGAAACAAGTAAAGACCAACTAAATGATCATGAACAGTGGACGGTTGTAATAAAATGTATATTAGAATTCTTTGAATCGCTAATGCCTGCAATTCGGGAAAATTGTTCATTATATTCAACCGTTGGATGTCAATCAAGGGCTCAGCAAGCTTTAGACAGACTTCATCAACCAGATAAATCTTTTCAAATAAGTGATCAAATAATGGTTCCAACCCTGGGATCCCAAGAAGGGGCTTTTGAAAATGTAAGAATGAGTTATTCTGGGGAACAAGGACAAACTATAAAACAACTATTGTCATCTGGTTTAGTGAGACGTGTTGCTTTATGTTGTTTATCTTCGCCGCACGGAAAACGTCAGCATTTAGCAGTGAGTCATGAAAAAGGTAAGTTATTTCAATTAAAAAAATGTAAGTAACATATCAAAACATTTTATTTTTAGGGAAAGTAACGATTTTACAATTGTCAGCACTTTTGAAACAAGCCGATGCAGCAAAGCGAAAACTAACTTTAACACAACTTTCGTCAGCCCCAATACCTTGCACAGTTCTTTCACTTACTGCTAATCCAGCAAACGAGGATTGTTTAGCTGTGTGTGGCCTAAAAGAGTGTCACATTTTAACCTTTTCAAACACTGGCGCTGCCAACGAGCACATTGTTTTAACACCGCAGCTGGAAACAGGGAATTTTATTAAAAAAGCTATTTGGTTACCGGGATCCCAAACAAAATTAGCATTAGTGACAGCAGACTTTGTCAAAATATACGAGCTAGCTGAAGATACTTATAGCCCACAATATTATTTCTTAGTAGCTGTTGGAAAAATTCGTGACTGTACTTTTATATACCAAGAAGGTGTTTATTATATGGTTTTGATTGCATCATCTGGTTATATTTATTATCAACCTTTGGATGAAGAAAGTTTAGCGAAACATGGCGATTTTTATGTTACAAATACTTTAGAGCTTAACCATCCTCATATTAAAGATATTAGCGGTCAAGTTGGAGGAGGTGGAGTGTCCATTTATTATTCCCATACATTGCAGATTTTGTTTTTCAGTTACTCTCTGGGGAGAAGTTTTATGGCACCTTTAACTGACATTAACAAGGGAGTGAAGTCAATTATGTTGTTACATACTGGACCGCCAAATACTAAGAATTCTTCTAAAGGACCACCTCAACCATTATGTCAATGGACTGAAATTCTTGGACATCCAGGGTTGATTTGCGCAATGATGCAAACTTCTAATAACCCTGTAATTTTCATGTTGAAACCAGATGGAATTGTGATGCAAGAAATTAAAGCGCAAAGCTCAAAATCCAAAATAATGGATATGGTAGCAATTCGTCACACAGTTTCTGGGACTGAAAAGACTACCCTAATATTACTTTGTGAAGACGGAAGTTTAAGAATATTCACAGCACATAATGAAAACACAAACTATTGGTTATCTCCTGAAGTACAGCCCATAGGAAACCAAATGTATTCAACAAATTTATTTGCTAAATCGTCCAGGAAAAATAAAACAAAATCTAGTAGTGGAAAATCTCATCAATCGTCACAGAAAAATGGGGGTACAGCTTCTAACCCAGTTTTTCCCATTGATTTCTTCGAGCATTGTAGTGTAATGTCAGATGTGGAGTTTGGTGGAAATGATTTATTACAAATTTATAGTACACAAAAATTAAAAACACGATTATTTTCAACCGGAATGTATGTTGTATCTTCTAAAGCTAGTGGTGGGTTTACACTGGAAATTAATAATCCAGATCCTAATATAGTTATTGTTGGTATAAGAGTTCAGTTAGGGACCCAAGATCCTGTTAGGGCCCCAACCACGGTTACTATCCTAAACAGAGTTATTCAAACACCAGTATCGAGACCCAGATGGTTTGATATTCCATTAACTAGAGAAGAAAGTTTGCAGTCAGATAAAAAATTATCCGTTGTATTTGGAAAATCACAAGATCCAGAAAACATCTGTATGTTGGATAGTATTGAAATTTATGGAAAAACAAAAGATGTTTTTGGATGGCCAGAAGAAACAGAGGAACCGGCCGTAGCCAACAATGGTGCAGCTTCATCCAATGCCGTAGGTAATTCAGGAAATATTCAAAATGGTGCCTGCGGTAGTGTAAATGGATCAAACGATTCCGGGGCTCAAACTATTACTTTGCTTGATCGGATGGTAACTGCTATGTTAGAAGTGCTCGATAGTGGATTAGGTTTATTAGGAGGAACAAACGTTGAATCAAATTTAAAACAGAAATCGATGCATGTTGCTACGGAGCTCTTATTAATGGCTACACCAAATCCAGTACAAGTGCAAACGAAATGTGTGCTAGCTACATTACATGGAAATCGCAATGCTTATCATACATATAAAGATAAAGAAGTTTTAAAAGAAGTTGACTCTGAGCTTCAAAGATTAGACAAAATTGAAAATGTAAAATCAATCGATCCAGAAGGGTTTTATCGCCTTATTTTGATGACACGCGGAATAGCTGTAGCTCGGCCACAGACACTAACAAAGATATGTATTGAAAATAATTTCAAAATTTTGTCGTATTTATTGAAATTAACGAAAAAAATGTACAATATAACACCTAGACTTGATGAGCCTTGTTCTATTGTAAAATGTGGTCTTTCTCATACTGATGCAATAATTCATTGTTTGGTCGAAATTATATATGCATTTGCTTTATCAGAACCGTCACAAGTGGAGAGTATGACAAAATATTTTGTTGAACTCCTACTTGATCCTTCAAAAATGATAAGCCATAGCGCAAAAGATGCTTTAATACTTTTGATGAGCCCAAGATTAAAACGACGTAAAGTTGTAATTGTAAGTCCGCCAGCATGTTCAACACCAACACCTTTAACAACACCTGGTGCCACAGTAGCAGGCAATACAATACCTGGCATTTCTGGAGCAAGTTCAAGTGCCATTTCGGCCCCCGCATCAATTCCGGTTCAAATCCCGGTAGATGAACCGATTCAAGGTCAAGCAGATCAATTTGTTGAAGTAGATGACGCAATTGGATTAGATGTTGGTGGTAATCCAGCGTCACTAGCTTCCATTGAGGCTCTTTTAGGAGCCGGCTATCCACAATTATTGGATTTACAACAAGATGCAGATGATGAAGCAATTATGGACATAGCTATTGCTTTGAGCTTACAACAACATGATGGTGATTTATCTCAATTACCTCAAAGCTTGGGAAACTTGCAAAATGTACGAGTTGGTGCAAGTAGCTCATCTGGAGTCGCAGAAGCTTCAGTAAGTAATACCGCTGCTGGTGAAACAATTGCTACATCTGCTGGAGGGTCAGATGACGAGGGCTCAAATGCAGCTACAGATGGTTCAACATTAAGAACATCACCTGCGGAGCATGCTAGCGGAAGTGGAGGTTCTGAGAGCGGTGGTAGTGGTGTTGAAAGTATTGGCGGAACTTCTGGGCGTAGTAGCACCTATGGTGATCAACCCATTAACCAATCACCTCCAAGAACTGATATTGTTACACAGAATACAAATGAAACAACAACGCAAAAAAATACTCCGATTACAGAAGAACAGGATGAACATTCTGATAGTGAAAACATTGCAAAATTGCATAGTTTAAGGTAATGTACTAAACAAAATGATTTTAGTCTTTTCCATGTTTTATTTTCTTTTCTTTTATATTGTAACAGGTGTGCAATTTTAAATAAAATTGTTGAAAATTTCAAATCACTGGATGAATGTAATGGTCAACAAGCAATCCCATTATTGCAAGTAATTTTAATGCTGACAACGGATTTAGATGGCAATCGTGAATCTGATCAATTAATATTGAATAAACTTTTGTTATCACTAGTCGAAAAATTAGAAATAGTTCCAGCAGCTCAGGCAACACAAGTAAATATTTTTAAAATCTAATTTTTAATAATAAAATGCAAAATTTACTTTTTTTTTATTTTATTTAAAATATCGATTTCTAATCTTTATATAAAATAATTTAGTTATTAAATGATATTCGTATATGTATTTACTATTTATTGCATGTTACATTCTTTTTAACATACAAAGTATTTAAAGACCTTAACCTAAATAATCACGATAGGCTTATGATATCATCAATATCCTTTTACGTGAAATGCCATAAAACAATTTCTACTTGATGACATACATAAATGTAAATTACATTTATTACATTTAACACTAGCTTTTTTGGTACAATTCTCTAATTTACATCGTTGTGGTTTTTTATCCATTAAAGGCCAATGGTCCATACCATCATATCTAATATCTTTAATGTGAGGTGAATTTGATAATCTGCTTTTTTTATTAATTGGCATTAATCCAAGTTGATTAAATAAATTTCTTGAATTTTCATTATTGTTATCATCTTCACTGATTGATCTTGATCTTTTATTACTCAAATAAATATTTGAACTGTGATTAACTCTTAATAAAAGTTCAGCTGTTTTTAATGTAAATTCCAAAAAATCTAATATATCTTCAGAATTTTTTTGTTGTTCCATACAATCTTTTTGATATTCTAACCAACTATTTTTTATAGCTAATCCAACAAATGAAAATATAACACGTAAAACTTTTCTATGTTTTTTAAGTTTTATTGTATTTAAATATAATAGAAAAGGAATTATTTGTTCATCGACACAGGGATTCAAATCACTTGCCAATATTTGACATTTTTTTGTAAAACTATTTACAATTGGTCGAATTCGCCATAAATTGTCTTTAATTCCACTATTATTTTGAAATGTTGGTTTATTTTTAACAATAATCAAATTATTTCTTAATGTATCGAAACGTTCTTTTGACATTCGTTCTGTTATTGCTTTAATATTAAATAATGGACTCCAATACATATCATAACGTGGATATTTTAATATATTCATTAATATATGTATACCAAATAGTTCTTGTATTTCTAAAGGATTTGTTGCAATTGACATTTCATTAGAAATATTTGAAAAAAAATTGTCCGGAAAATAATTTAAAAAATATTTAAGTGCTGATTTCTGACCATTATCATCATGATCATTTATAATAATTGATGATTGTAAAACATTATTGTTAACTGTTTCAATTATTTTACATAAATTTTGTGCTTTTTTCGATATAAATTTATCTGCTGGCATTTTAGATATTTCACTTGAATTCTCATTATCACTTTCATCATCATCGTCTGTAGAAGATTTATAATTATTTTCTGATGGGATACTTGAATTTATTTTAATATTATATAATTGTCTAAGAAATTCATCAACATTATTTGTTTCCTCAGTTTTTATTTCTATTGACTCAACGCTTATATTTTTTTCTGGTATTTTTATGCTGTTTTCATCTTCTGTTATAATAACTTCAGCTTCAAACATTTTTTGCAAAGTTTATTTAAATATTTTTCTGAAATTAAAGAAAAAAATATTTTATCAAAATAGTTCTGATATATTCTGCAAGAAATAGCTTTCCTTTAAAATTCTTATATTAAATTATTTAAAGAAAAATTACCTTAACAGACTTGTGTTCACTTCAATATTCAAAAACAGAATAAAAGTTTTTCTATTGCTCTTTCTCTTTATATGAATTATCCTTATTGTCGTCCTTAATTTTGGTTACCTGGTTTTTATACCTACTACAGAAAACATTTTTCTATAACTTTTTGTTGTAAATTTATTGGTCCTAAATTTTTGATGAAAACTCTAAAGTCCAAAATTAAGATTTTTCATTTTTGTTTTGTTTAAAATTTTACATATTTTTAAGTAAATATCAGGTCCATAAAAGTTTACAACTATTACCTTTTTGTCATCCAGGTAGAAAAAATTTATATCTAACATATTGTGTTATGTGTGAATATTCTTTTCCTTTGAATGTAATAATAATCCATTGCTTTTATTATTAACACCCATACACATCTGTGTGTTCTTTTAATTTTCAGAATTTTTTTAATCTATCAGGTATTTAAAATAAAAGTTGTGTTTTATGAAATCTTGTCCCATTAGCTGTTTCAGTGGTTTCTAAATTGGCAAGAAAAATAAAAAGTTTTTTGATATTTCACTTTCTATAAGTTAAAATTTACTATGAAAATTTTCGCAAAATGATGGCAAAAAGTGGTTAATATCTGGGTCATATCTACAGCTATCATTTCCATTTTAAACTTTTAGAAAATTTTCTGTGAATTATGATATTATTTGTATGTATATTTCTTTCACAATCATTATTTATTGGAAATTTATATCTTTGCACATAACTCCTTTATACAATAAAATTTGTGCAATAACCAACGGAAACCTAAGAATCATATCAAATACTAGAACTTAGAAAAACTTTAAAATATCTGTAAAATTAAAATATGTAAGATAGAACTTTCATTAACTTTAAAAATAGCTTCCTTTTTTTCTATATTCAACATAAATAATATTATGTATATAAAAAATAATTTAACACACATTATTTTTTTATCAGATGGTTAATCGTACACCAAAAACTGAAGTTCAATTGGCAATGTTATGCTTATTTGGTGTTTTAATGGGTAAAACAAAATCATCATCAAAACAAGCTGGTACAACATCACCACCACATCAATTTAAGGATAATGCTTCATTTGTTGCAAATTCAACAGCAAATATTTTAATGAAAAGTGGAGCAATACCATATTGCTTAGTTATAATGGAATCATTTTTACCACATTGGAAAAATTTATCAACGAACGGAGATAATACTTTATCAAATTTATCTATAGCTCCAGTATCATCAGCCAATTCAACAACTAATAACCTACTTAAACCAACAAATTACGGACCGAAACCAGATATATCCTCATTAATACCAATAAATTATATAAAAAATTATCCAGATGTTTTTGATGCATATAGCGCATTGCTAACAGAATTCGCTGTACGTTTACCATATCAAATATTAAAACTATCATCTGGTCATCCATCTGCTTACGATTGGTATCATAAATTCTGTGAATCGATGACATTTACTTTATGTGAATATATGATGCTCAATTTATCGGCATTATTAAGACGACAAGTTCGCAAACTTTTAATGTATATTTGTGGAAATAAAGAAAAATTCAGACTTTTCCGGGATGGACATTCACTGGATGTGCATATTAATGCCATTAAGAAGTGCTGTGATTTGTCTTCTGCTAAAGTAAGTTAATAAATATACACATGTATGTATTCTATTTTTATGAGATTGATTTTTTTTTTTGTAGATGATTGGTTCCTCTAATCATCCCATTTTAAGTTATGATGCTTTGGTTGAGTTGACTGAGCATTTAAGGGCATGTTTAGAAGTAGCTCAAGTTCGTACAGGAAATTGGCAAAAATTTTGTGTTGTTCATGAGGATGTAATTTCATCTTTAATTCAAATATGTTGTTATCAATTAGATGATGGTGTGTCTCCAATAATTTTGCAATTATTGCAATCTGCTTTATGCAATACTGGTGGTAATAAATCCGATTCGAAGTCATCAAGTGGTTTAAAAAGTCGACAAGATCGTGATAAATCTGAAGAAAATGAATGTACAAGTGATTCAAAATTCGATTCTTCACATTGCAGTACATTTGTTCATCAAATATTTAGATTTGTACCAGATCAACTATTTTCGAAATTCATTAATATTTTCCTTTTGGAAACCAATATAACGTCAATACGTTGGCAAGCACATTCATTAATATATGCTGTATATGAAAACAGCAATGACAAACAAAAAGAACGTTTATTAAAATTTTTGTGGGATATGTGGCCGTACCTACCAGCATATGGAAGAAGGACAGCTCAATTTGTAGACATTTTGGGTTATTTAACACTTAGCACTAAAGCTCTATCCGATAAGTTGCCTGAATATACCGAAAAAGCTGTTGCTGTCCTGAGGCAACAAAATGAGCTACTTTCCAAACATCCTAACGGACCAATTTACACCGGATTAACGCAAGTGTTAGAATTAGATGGTTTTTATTTGGAATCAGAACCTTGTTTGGTATGCAATAATCCGGAGCTACCAATGTCAAACATTAAATTACCTACTATAAAATCGGATTCTAAGTTTACAACAACCACTATGATTGTTAAACTAATTCAAAGTCATACAATATCAAAAATTATTTTGCGAGTTGCTGATTTAAAACGAACTAAAATGGTTCGGACAATTAATATTTACTACAACAATCGTACAGTTCAAGGTGTAGTTGAACTAAAAAATAGACCTTCCATTTGGCATAAAGCACGAACTGTTTCTTTACAATCAGGGCAAACAGAGGTTAAAATAGATTTTCCTTTACCAATAACAGCGTGCAATTTAATGGTAGAATACGCTGATTTTTATGAAACAGTTACGGGCTCAAGCGAAAATCTTCAATGTCCAAGATGTAGTGCAGCCGTGCCAGCCCACCCAGGTGTATGCGCTAATTGTGGAGAAAATGTATTTCAATGCCATAAGTGTCGGGCAATCAATTATGATGAAAAAGATCCATTTTTATGTCATTCTTGTGGCTTTTGCAAATATGCTAAATTTGATTTTAGCATTTACGGTCGGGCTTGCTGTGCAGTTGATCCCATAGAATCAGCCGAAGACAGAGCCAAAACAGTTCAAACAATACATTCATCGTTAGAAAAAGCTGATCGTATCTATAGGCAGTTGCAGGCAAATAAACAAATTTTGGAAATATTAATTCAGAAAGTGAATGAGCATAAAGATAGAGGTATTGATGAAAGCTTTGGTACAGTGGTTAGTTCATCTCTTGTTAACAAAGCCATACAGTTATTGGCCCAAAAATATTGTGTGGAATCTAAAACCTCTTTTGAAGAATTAAGTAAAGTGGCACAAAAGGTCAAAGCTTGTAGAAGGTATACGAGGAGTTTTGAATTTATTTTTTATTTTTTTGAAATTTAATAAAATTTTTTATCTTACAGAGAGTTAGTGGCATATGATCGCAGTCAAGTAGATTTGCAGGTTGGGCCATCAGATCAAATGCAGTCTGAACCTGCAGTAATAAATCGTTGCTATGGCTGTGCTTTAGCTTCTACAGAACAGTGTTTAACTTTGCTTCGTGCTATGGCATCAAATCTTCCTTGTCGTAAAGGCTTGTGTGAACAAGGTTTAGTTGAAGAATTGGCGCAAAATAATTTACGTCGCGGAACACCACAAATACAAGATGAAGTCCGAAGTTTGCTTTGTTTACTTACTAGAGATCTTCCTCAACCTTGTAATAGTTTATTAACTTTGATACATAATCGAGTAAAAATGGTTTTACAAGGAACTGTTCCATTAGCTAACCTGGATATGGCAGTTAGACATGAAATGGCTCTTCTTGAGTCAATGATGGCACAGGATGATACATGTTGGGAAATGAAATTGAAAGTTGTACTGGAATTATTTTTAATGGCTTATAAGTAAGTAAAATATTTTGAATACAAAACAAGATAAAAATGTTTACAAACTGAACTTTTCTGTCAGAGATCCTAGAGGACCAGCTATTTCAGTAATACAGCCATGTCTTCGCATTATTCAACTATTAATATGCCCTCCACTGCCCACTAGCAAAAATCATAAAGAAATGGTTACACAAGATTTAACAACACTTTTGAATATAGATGGTTTTAGTGTTGATTTTAACAAATGGTTAGATGGAAATGAAAAGCATTCATTTGCGGCTTGGAAACAACGAATGCCTCTTAATGTCAAGCCTAATAGCAGCGGCGCTAAACCTAAAAAGCAAGAGGAAAAACCCATTCAACCTCTTCCACAACAAGTCACTAATAATACGGTGACACCGAAATCAGGACAAAGAATGTTTGGAGCTATTTTAGAACATAAGAGAATGCAATATCGTCGAGCATACTTAAGTGAGAAATATGGTAGAAAATGGAGAAATATATTTTTGCAAAAAGGTGTTCCCAATCCTCCGCTAAAATTGACAGACTCTTGGCTTCAACCTGTTTTATTCAATACAAATTCTAGATTTGGAAGACAATTGGCATGTTCTATGATTTCATCATTAAGTAGAACACACGAAAGGAAACGTGAAATTTTGAATTTATTAACGGACTTTTTGAAATATGTCGGAGAAGCTGGTGAAGCAAGCGCGGAATTTTTAACTTTATACCGATCTTTGGCAGTTGAAAGTCCATGGCGTCAATATTTGGCATTAAAAGGTGTTCTTACATTAATTGCTGATCTTTTATCCTCTGAAATCGAAAAAATTCATAGACTTGAAGAAACCACATTATCATCAGATCTCGCACAAGGATATGCTCTAAGACAATTTGTTGAACTATTGTCAATGTTCCTTGAAAATTCTGCTATCAGACAAGCTTATAAGAGCAAACTGCTTGGGCCGGTGTTGCAGGGTTATTTGTCACTGAGAAAATTAGTTGTACAAAGAACTCGTTTAATAGATGATGCACAAGAAAAACTTTTAGAAATGCTTGAAGAGATGACAACTGGAACTGAGGAAGAGACAAGAGCTTTTATGGCAATACTAATTGATACTGTTCAAAAAACACCACTGAATGATATCAAAACTCCAGTATTTATTTTTGAACGTTTGTATTCGATTATTCATCCTGAAGAAAATGATGATGGTGAATTCTTTTTAACTTTGGAAAAAGATCCCCAACAAGAAGATTTCTTGCAAGGAAGAATGTTAGGGAATCCATATCCATCAACAGAAGCTGGTCTTGGACCTTTAATGCGCGATGTTAAAAACAAAATATGTACAGATTGTGAATTAATTGCTCTCTTAGAGGATGATAATGGAATGGAATTACTGGTCAATAATAAGATAATTAGTTTAGATTTACAAGTTAAAGAGGTCTATAAACGAATTTGGTTGGCGGAAGGTGGTGAGCGAGATGCTATGCGCGTAGTTTATAGAATGCGAGGTCTTTTAGGTGACGCAACAGAAGAATTCGTTGAAACTTTGAACAATAAGAGCCAAGAAGAAGTAGACAATGAAACTTTATATTGCATGGCAAATGTTTTAGCAGACTGTGATGGTTTAAAAGTTATGTTGGACAGAATCTCGAACATTCAAAGCATTTCTAGAACCAGAGAATTAGTTCAGGTAATTAAATTTAGTAATATATTAGTTTTCTAAATAAAAATACTTTATTTTTCAGGTATTATTAAAATTATTCCTTATTAGTGTTAAAGTTCGTAGATGTCAAGAAGTTTTGTGCCAACCAGAATTAGGAGCTGTTAACACTTTACTTAAAGTTTTACAAATTTGTTTACAATCTGAAAACGATCCACAACAGTCCTCAATTACTGAACAACTTCTAGAAATAATGGAAACTATTCTTTCAAAAGCAGCCAGTGATACTTTAGATTCATTTTTACAATTTTCATTAACATTTGGAGGTCCAGAATATGTAACAGCATTAATTTCCTGCACCAATTGTTCAAACGTCCGAAATAATCCCTCTGTGCTAAGGCATTTGATTCGTGTGCTAGCAGCACTTGTTTATGGAAATGAAGTCAAAATGGCATTATTATGCGAACATTTCAAAGCTACTTTAGATTTTGATAAATTTGATGCAGAACGTTCTCAAGAGGATGAATTTAAAATGGAACTATTTTGTGTATTAACAAATCAAATTGAACATAATTCGATTGGTGGGACTTTGAAAGATTATATCATTGGCTTAGAAATTGTTGGAAAAGCTATTGAATACATTACAAATAATGCACCGTGCGTAAAACCAACATTATTAAGAACTGATTCTGATGAACTTAAAGAATTTATATCCAGGCCAAGTTTAAAATATATTTTGAGATTTTTAACTGGACTCGCAACTAAACATGAAGCTACCCAACTAGCTGTATCAAAAGATATAATACCAATCATACACCGTTTAGAACAAGTTTCAAGTGATGAACATGTTGGCAGTTTAGCTGAAAATTTATTGGAAGCACTTTGTACTGATCCAGCTACTGCTAAGAGAGTTCAAGAGGTCCGCGATTTCACGAGAGCCGAAAAGAAACGTTTAGCTATGGCCACAAGAGAAAAACAATTAGATGCATTAGGAATGAGAACGAATGAAAAAGGTCTTATAACAGCTAAAGGACCTATATTACAAAAAATTGAAAAATTAAGAGATGAAACAGGTTTAACATGCTTTATTTGCCGAGAAGGATACGCTTGCCAACCCAGTAAAGTACTCGGTATTTACACGTTTACTAAAAAAACTAATCTGGAAGATTTTGAACTGAAGCCAAGAAAAACTTTAGGCTATACAACAGTAACACATTTTAATGTAGTTCACGTTGATTGCCATACTTCGGCTATTCGTTTGTCACGCGGGCGAGATGAATGGGAACGTGCCAGTTTACAAAATGCGAATACACGTTGCAATGGTTTACTTCCACTATGGGGTCCAGATGTAACGGAATCTGCATTTTCAACTTGTATGACACGTCATAGCAGTTACATGCAAGAAAGTACTCAACGCTGTGACATTTCTTTCGCTAATTCGATTCATGATTTGAAATTACTTTTGAGTCGTTTTGCATGGGAGAAAAGTTTTCATGAAGATGCTGGAGGTGGTGGACCTCAATCAAATATGCATTTGGTCCCGTATTTATTATTTTACTCTTTATATATGTTATTATCTGCGAGAACATCTTCACGAGAAGAAAAAAATCTTACAACATATTTGGCATTACCTGTTGGCGAAAAATGGCTTGAATGTGCTTATGATGTTGATGGTCCCTTATATCAAATAACACTTTCGCTTGCATTACATAGTCCCACAATTTGGAGAAATAATAAAGTAACTCATTTAAAACGTTTATTAGCAGTAGCTCAAGCAAGAGAAATAAGTGCTAATGTTTTGTGTAAGGCATTATTATCAAATGCAGATCGTACTGTAAAAGACTACAGTGTTTATCGACCGTATTTAATGTTCTGGGGAATGATTGATTTAATTTATGCAAATTTATTTAAAACTGTAACTACACCAAAAGAAGAAGACTGGCCAATATCATTATTTGATTATATTCGTCGCAATGATGAAGCTAATTTAAAAAATAGTGATACAATTTTGCAAACTTTCACTGATGAATATATTCCATGTGCTAGTTTTGCAGAATTTTGTGATGTAGCAGGTAAATATAAAAAAGAAAAAAAAATATTAATTTTTTTTTTTTAAATAAAAATTTTAATGTTTTTAAACATAATGCAATTTTTTTTTTAGGTTTGTTGAATGACATTGAAAATCCAGACCAATTTCTACTCGATATATTATTAACTTTACCATCAAGTTCATCTGCTTAAAACTTAATAAAAATTAAAAACTATTATTCAGAAATTTATTACTAAATTAAAAAAAAAAAATATATAAATTTTAGTCTTTTAAATTTTAATATGTATGTATTTAACCAAAAATAAAATGCAAAATTTAAATAAAAATTATTAGAATAGAAGCACAATTTATCTCTTTATTAATATGCATTGTTTGAAAAATAAAATATTATAATAATGAAATTAAAATGAGTTTTACTGAAGCAAATAACATTTTTACAGATTTGACGGATATATTAAGTTACAAAATTCCAAAGAATTAGAAAAAAAATCAATTATATAGTATGCAGATAAATGCGATATGTATACAAATAAAATGTTAATGTAAAGAAATTGTTAGACACAACATACATACTAAATTTTGCCAATCATGTTTAGTTATCGTTAATTTCTACTTTTGAATAATTAATTCAAAACTTATATGCACATATAATTAAATGTTCGGCTTATTTATTATCAAAATTATATGTTATGCTTAACCATTTGTAATTGTTAGTCATACTATTTATATAAAATAACAAAGTAAAAGTTTTTAAAGTACCCACTTATTAAACAAAAATGACCTTTGCCTTTGGAAAATTATTGCAAAATACATAATATAAAAGAATAATAATTTTAAGTACCTACATGTGTAGTTTATCTATACAGTACCATATAACAAAATATACCTTGAAATTTATTTTAAAATTTATAATAGATTAATGACTAATTTGCGATTAAAATGGGAAGCCAAATGCATAGTTTTATTCAATATAATTTTTCTATATTTCAATTTGTTAATAATTATTACAAGGTGCAAAAATTTTTTCTTTTAAGTAATAAAAATTTAACAAAACTCGTTAAAAATTTTTTATTTCTAATTCCTTAAAGATAAATTTCTTAATTAAAAATATTGTATTACTATACAAATTTTTGTTTTTAATATTGTTCGATTTCAATTTACATAATTTACAACTAGGCAACTTTTTTTTTTTTATAAATTAATCAAAATGACTAAGGATGTGATGATAATTTAAATTTGTTTCTTTTTACAATAACCAATAATACATTATAAAATCCAATTAAAAAATAACTATATATTTAGATATTTTTTTTCTATTAATAAATAACACAGAAATTTTAAAACATGTTTTAAACTGATATTATTTTTCCTTTTGTACGATAGGTACACAATTTTTCTACAAATCCAATTTTTAAAATGAAAATTTAATAAATTTGAAATTAATTTGATGAAGGTTGTTGCACTGGTTGTTCTCTGTTTGTCGTAATACTTCTTTCGTTATCTTGATCTGATTCAGTAGCTTCAGGAGTATTCTTTTGACTATCTGTACTTGTATTACTAATATTACTTAGATTTTTTTCTTCATCCAATTTGCTATCATTATCACCACAAGCTTCTAAAACATATTGATTAAACACTGAAGGTTTGTCAGCATAAACATGATGACCTGCACCATTTATTATTCTCATATTTACAATACTGTTTGGTCGAAGAATTTTAATTTTATCTCCAGCTGAACTATCAATCCACGATCTCGAACCGTAAATTACCGTCATGGGAACATCCTCTCGCAAATTTTGTATTCGTTTAATCATTGGATTTTTCGCCCATCCAAAACTTTCCATCATTGAATGAAAAGCACTTTCTCCTGATGGTGATTGAGCGTTACATTGATGAATATATTGTGGTATTAAATCAGGTTCATCAATAAGTATTGAAAATTTTCTTGTAATATCAGGACGTGTTTTTTCTACGACCCATTGTCCCCAAGGACCAGCAGCACGTAATGCCCATAATGGATTTAAAGGTTGAACAACGTATGCAATTGTTTTCACCCATAACGGCACACTTTTGAGTTTTTCTGGTGTTTCTGCTGGTTTTTCTGGAAATCCCCAAGGATCTGCTAATATCAAATGTTTTACATTATCTGGATAAGATATTGAGTAACTTGCTGCTAAAAATCCTCCCATAGAATGCCCTAGCAAAATCATTTTATCAATACTCATTTCACGACGCCATTCTTCAATTGATTTAACAAATTGTTTTTCGCATATCATTGCATCATTTGAAAAATTAGGACGAGAACTACGACCAAACCCTAATAAATCAATTGCATACACGGGTCTATTTGTTGAAAGTGAATCTAAATTTAATACCCATAATGCGACACCAGCACCTAAACCATGTAACATAACTAAAGGTGTTTTGAGTGATTCATTATTAATGCCAATTGTCCATATTTTATCATTATCTCCAACAGCAGGTCCGATGTCTACGTAAAAGCCTCTATGCGTTGATTTCAAATAAGACAAAATCTTTTTCTCAATTGCCCGCAACATATTTAATGATGTCCCAGTCCAATTAAATGGAAATGTGTCTGATATTCTAGCTAGTAATCCTTTGGTAACTACTTGTTGATATTCTGGTTCTGCCATTGACTTAATTTTAAATATTAAATTAAATTATAAGAGAAAAAATAAATAAAAATTTACTAACTTATATGTATTAAATATCAAATATTTTTTCTACATAAAATTACGTATGTGTACTCAATGTCAGCAATTTTAATAAAATAATTTAAGTCCAAATACGCAATTTATTGACCTTGGTAATATTAAAATTATCGGTTTAGAATTCTAAGATTATTTTTTAAATTTTAATTAAATTAAGTTTAAAAATTTTACCGTCAATTAATGGTAATGTAGTATAAAATAAAATTAAATAAAGTAAACTCCTTCCTATTTTAAATTAATTGTTATTTCTTTTATTGTGAAATATGTTTATATTACTGAATCTTAATTTGATCTGACACATAAATACTTTTAGAATGAAGTTGTAAAAAGAAAAGCAAACAAAGCAATTGTCGAATTTTGCCATGTAACAGCTGATTTGTCATTTTTCACCTGATATTGAAGTCGTGTTGCGTTCTTATGTAGTTAATTTACTACATATAGTTTTTTCTTATTTTGCTAATATACATAATTAGAATTACTTTAATAAATTTTATAGATTCAAATTATTTCTCTTGAATTATTTTTGTTTACTTTCATTTATTAAAATGGGGAACAATCAAAGATATAAAGTTTTTCATGTTTGAACATTTATGAAAGTCATTTTTTTGTAGATAGAACATTCTTGGGTCTTCTGAAAGGCCGAGATAAAAGTATTTATTTTGATTTTTGGAAAATATATATTTTTAAATGTAAGTCATGCCAACAAAGCTATGTAATTTCTTTTGCTATACTCAGATATTAAGAAATCAATAAACTTAATCAACTTTATTAAAAATAAAAGATAATTAAAAAAAAATAAAATATTAGTTTTGCTAAATTTATTTCCAAATTGCCAAACAGATTTTTTACTTTATATACTTACATAATAAAAAAACTTTCATTAATTATACATACTTTATTAAATCACATTGATTTATTTTAATTTTAAGGATATTTAAGAAACATTTTCTGATTCATTTACAAAATACAATAAAATTAAGGATTAAAATATTCGTTTGAAATTTGAATAAAATAAAAAAAAAAATGGAAATATTTTAATTACGGTAATAATTTATCACACATTTTAGAAAATCTATATCTTCCAAATTGACTTATTACAAAAAATTTATAACATATTTCATTATATTTTCATCAAATTTAATGCCATGTCATTTTCAATTACATAAAATAGAACCAAAAAAATTTATGTTCGTAAACATAATTAAAATTTTTTAAGAGAAAAATCCATAATAGAAAAATACAAAAATAAATACAAATTTCAAATTAATAGATTAAAATTTACAATGACTATTATAATATTAATTTAATAACATATTGTTGTTCAATATTTTTTATTAATCTTTTCATTAACCAAAACGTTAATAGTACTTTTCCTATTTTTTTTTTTTAAATAAAGATTTAATTATTTCCTCTTTCATTTCCATTATATTTAAAGAGTTAGATAATTTTATAATTTTGCTATACCAGTTTTTTGGGCAACATCTTCTAAAACATGAGTTTCACGAAGGTGTTTATAAATCAAATCTAAATACTGATCTGGATATTTTAAGTAATGCATAACATGATGTGAATCATCCCAACATTGCCAAGTTGTTTTGATTCCAATTGATTCCATATCCTCCTTAACACTCCAATTCGAAGGAACCGATCCTAAAAATTAATAAAAAATTAAATAAAATCATCAAAAATTCGTTTTAAATACATATAGAGTACTAATATATTATATGAAATTAATTATATTGTTACTTACCAACAGGATCTATTTTTGATACTAAAAATAATGCAGGAGCTTTCAGTAAAGGAAAATGGAAAAAATTACTTGAACGAGCATAATGAACTGTAGCTGCTTGATAAAATGTTTTTAAATGATAAATAGCATAATTTCGTAAAGCCGCTTGTAAAGTTAAATTTTTTGGAAAAATAGCTTTTGGTAAACCAACTGATATTTCTGAGATATCAGCAGCACTATCCCAAATTTGAGCTCTAAATTTGTCTAAAACTGGTTGATATTTAGGTAAATCACGTGACTAAAATGAAAAAAAAAAAAAATTACTCATATAAGAAATTAATATTTTTCATTAAAATTTCTTTAAAAAATTACCATTATAACCATTAATTCTCCCCATTGATAACCACCAACAGAAAATCCATGAATTATCATTGGAGAATATTTTTCTTGATTGTTATATAAAAAATTGACAGTATCATTAGCAATCAATTGTGATCCTTTTGTTGGCCATAATAATTGCCATGGTGTTATTTCTACTAAAAGTACATCAAAACCAAGATCTGTGTAAATTTTTGCAAATTTCAGTAAATGCTTTTTTTTAGCTAACATATAAGAGAACAAAAGACATAGTGGTCTATCAATTGGTGTTTGGATTCTAAAAAATTATAATAAAAGAATATTAATTATATATTATAAGTTTGTTTTATATAATAATAATTAATTCTTTACTTACTTTAAATTTTTATCAATTTCCAATTTTTCTGGTCTTGCTGAGATATATGTCAAATTTTTAGTTATTGGTTTTACAATCAATTTTTCTTTTTCATTATGTTTTTTCTTATCCATTTTGTCCTGTAAAAAATACGGAAATTTTTTTTTTTATTCAATAGTAAATTTTTAATGCAATAACAATATAAAGTCAAACTTATTTTAACTAAGTAGGAATAAAATATTAATTTATGTGCGTTCAATACGGAATAGAATTTGTGCTTGAAAGTTATAATAAAAAATTAGAAAGCTTTATTGATAAAATGCAGTTTTTTTTTTTATCATAGTAAATTTAAAATGTTTGTAATCTCATTCGAATGATTACTTTCATATCATTAATAAAATTTTTATATGTATATAAAAAAAATCAATTATTCAAATAGTAACACTTACTAATCAAAATGATTTAAAGCGGAAAAATTAAGCTTTATTCGTATACCTTAGTCAATACTGTTTTTTGCTTAATAATGTAAATGACATGTGAGTAAGTTCTATTAACTTAAAAATATAGAGACTAGAAACTATATAATGCTCATATTATTCTCTTTCGTCTTAGTAGACAGTAGCAAATTATTTGTTTTATATTTCGCTGAATAGCATAATTATTTTTCAGATAAGACAATTTTTTTTTTTGCTTCTAATCAACAATTCTAAAGTAGTAGTCAGCAACTCTTTAATATTTAATGTTTTGCTGTTTCAAAAGCTCTTATTATTTTGTCATTATTTTTATTATAGTATGACAGTATTTAATTTTTTATGTAGGTCCCTAATAATTTGTATTATTAATTTTCTGTTCTTCATAAGAAATTTTAATGCAAAAATTTGGATTTGTTTTAATGATCTACTGTGAATTTTAAAATTAAATTTATTTACATACCTACCTACTTAGCAATTTTTTTTTGTGAAGAACAATAAGTTGAAATTGTAGTTTATTTAGCCATGTTATTTAACAACACATTTCCTAATAGAACAATTAAACGAGGTTTTGAATTTCAATTAATAATAAATAAAATATTTTTATTTTTGGAACTCTCAAAGTAATTAATAATAAATCATTGGCCTAATAGGATTCTAACTAGCACAAATTTTTTTTTTAACTTCTTAACGTGTTTTCTTTTTATTTTCCCATAATTTGAATGATTCGACTGATCTTCATTCTAATAATAGAATATTTTCTTTTTTTTTTTCTTTGTTTGCAACAATTATTTTTAATTACAAATTTAATTTATTGGTAATAAATAAATAGAAAATTTATTTGCATAAATTACGCATAAAGTTTCATTTGCATATTTTTGCAAGAACAAAAAAAAATATTTTAGAAACTCTAAGTAACATTCAATTGTCAACTAAGGTTTTATTGCAAATTAAGGTTATAAAAACAAAATTATCGAAAAATAATTCAATTTACTTACTACTTAAACGCATAGTATATAAAATTTCTAAATAGAAAATGGTGTATTTAACATTTAATTACATAAAACAATTTTCTTATCTTCTGTTAGATTAATAATTTGGGATCAAATGTACACCTGTTTAGATCTGTTTATGAGAATTTTTTTTTTAAATACAATAGGTAATTTAAAGTTCTAGACTTTAAGATGAGTAATTTTAATTTTTATACAATGTCGCTATATTGCTCTTTTTTTGTATTTTATAGTCCTTGAACTTTGAGCTTATTACCGAAATTTTATTTCGTTTCTTTTTATAATTAAAATAATAAAAATTAAGTATGTTTATTTACAATCATAGGGTAAGAAAGTTTTTTATATTCCTATTTCTAAGTGCACGTTATAGATCCAAATTCCGCTAAGAGTAGAATTGAAGGAACATTAAAAAAGTGTGTAGAATAGCTTACTTAGGTAAGGTATGAATATTATTTTCTCATATATCTATGTAGCCTAGTTTATTTTATATTAGCCTAAATATATTACTTCAAATCATGTCATTCAGTAAGCAGGTATTTAAATAGAAGATTAATATGAATTCAACCAACTTATGATTGTTGCTTGTCTTTATCTAAGAAAATAAAGTACAGTTTCCTAAACAATTTACACTATGTTAAAAGTTGGCACTAAAGTCGGTAGGAATTTAACCAAAAATTGAATTGCCTAAATCAATTTTGGATAAAATATTCAGGGGCAGACATAGAAGCCCCACATATTATTTTCAGGATTGGAATGTGCTCACTAAATATTGTATTGCATCTTCATTATTTTTGAACAAAACACTTTGTCGAAACATTTTAAACATTAATGAGAAATTACAATGAATGCATAATTATAAATTAAGTATAATATTATTACCGTAGTAAGAAGACAGGAATGTAGAATGATATTATTAATATAATTAAACATTAATTATTATGATTTTTGGATTATTTTTTTTTATTTCAAAGTTTATTTTAAAAATGAACATTAAATAAAAATTTATTAAATGAGAAAATTTATGGACATAACATAAAATGAAATATTCTAGTAAATATATAATATGTAGCTAGGTGTCTGTGTTCATTATTATAGAAATTTTTTAAATTTTTAACCAAATTGTAGCTAAATCTACGCAAATATGTTAGGTACCTATATCTACATAGATGAAGCTACAACTTGACATATTTTTTTATATATGTACATATACGGATGTAGCTATCTATAAATGAAATAGGTATATTAATATTTGATTAAGTACACCCATAACTACGGGATATGAAATGTAATTACCTATGCGATACGAATTTCAATTGCATAACAAAGCTTGAAAAATTATTTATCTATTTTTGAATTTTAAAATTTTAATGTTATTCTTTATTTTCATTATTTATATGCCGTTTATAATATTTGAATTATTGCAGACAACAAATTATTTCTGATAAATACTTTGTTGCCTTTTAAAAGCTTTTTTTTGTTAGGTAAAAGTACCTACCATACTTTAAATTAAATAAAACGAAATCTAGATAGAATAGTGAAAGTAAGGGTAGGTAGATTACTATATAATATGTACTTATTTGTATTTTTTTTTAATTGCAATATTATGTTATTGTCTGTTTTACTGAATGTCGACTGAATTGTTGAATGAATAATTTTTACTCAAATAAGTACTAAAAGTTTATCACAGGGAATCAATATAAATTGTATCTAGAACATTATATGTTCGATACCTACATAGGTGCTATGTAAAAATACAAATTATGTTAAGCTTGTTTGGTTTAGTTTCAGTAACCAGTTGTTCTACAATGTGCATAATTCACACATATTAAGTAAGAAGATATATATCCAACTACGTACATGCCTCCTATACTATTTATTTTATAGACATACATTACTTTCAGAAACCTTAAATTACTTCAGTTAATTATTTAAATACAAACATGTAAATTTAGAAACCATAATTAATAAAACTTAAAAATTAAAATGTCGTTTCTTTTATTTAATATAGTTAATTCAATTAATATAAAAATAAAATAAAAAGAGCCTACCAACAATACATATATGTAATTATATGGAAAGGTAGAAATATAGATATAAAAGAAAAACATACTTATAGTTTTCATATTCTTAATAATTAATATTTATATAGATAATGTATTAATGTACGTATCATTGTATCCACTTTAATATAATATGTACGTACATATGTATACAATACTTTACCATAAATGTTAAAGAAACCGGCATAACAACTAATTACAAAAAAATAAAATGTAGCTAGGCTAGTAGGTACGTTATGTTGTAATATTTTATTCCATTAAAAGTATGTTTGCAACTTACTTGACTATATTCCCTCCATGGCACATGATGATTATTATGTTTAAAAAGATCACTATAAAGTTGAACATTTTCATCAGAATTTTCAACTTCGATTTCAGTTACAAAACTTTTTGAGGAGTAATTAAGAACAGGTACCATTGAATAACCAATCATTCCAAGGTTAGGATTAGTTTTTAAATTCATTAAATATGGAGAAATTGATTCAAATTGTGATATTCTATTTATATTTTGTAGCATTGGTCTCATGGTAACATAACATTTGCCACTTGGTATTAAAATTTTTGAGCTTAAACGAAAAGCTGCTGACATGGTTTTTTTTTTGTTTTCTTGTTTTTTATTCAGGAAATGCAATTAAAATGCAAATGCAGAAAAATTAAAATAAAATAATAGAAAAAAAATATTAAATATGAATATTGAATTTAATATTGAAAACAAATTATAAGCACTTTCCAAATTATTTTATTATTTTTTTTCTTAATCAATAATTCAAACACATTTTTCTACTTATTGACAAAGTCGTATCGATTTTCTTTTTTAAATTAAATGGATACTTTCAAATTGATTTATCACAAAGTTGAATTTTTTTCCACCATTAAAAAAATATTAAAAAATAAATTTTCAAATAATGCACGATTGTCTTCTTCTTTCTTTATTTGTTTGTTGTCATATTATCTTTAATTTGGCTGAATAATTTTGAGTATTCTATTTTAAAAAAATTTAATTTATCAGCGCTAAATGACAAAAGAAAGATAAAATAAAATGCACAAATGGTTGCACAAACACAACTTGAAAATTAAAATCTAGAAGTAGAAAAAGAATGGAAATTTAGCAGACGCAAACAGCGGATTTTGACAAGTAAATTTTTTCTTTTATGCACGAAGTGGAAGCTTTTAAGTCCAAAGTTCAAAAATTACCACGCGTTCAAATAATGTTAAAAAATGTCACCGAAGGAATTCGTTTGTATATTAAAACTAAACTGACGAGATGATTTAAAAATAATGTTTGGGTAGGTTGGTTTTTGTTGTCTTTAGTAAACCAAAATACGTAATAATTGCATATGTATGTATGTATCAAATCAAATAAGGTATAATGTATTAACTACATATATTGTATTCCTCTACTTCTACTTTTTTTTTTGTTGTTCATTTTAGTTTGAGATTATGTTGAAATTCCTTTACAATTTCGTGCTTGAACTTTCTAAAATTATTAAATAATTACAATAAATTATAATACGGCTAAAAATTATAATCAGTTTACCATAACAAATAATAAACAAACTAAGTACTGTTATATTGAGATTGTAGATCTTATCTGAAGGTAATTTTCATAATAGGAATATTATTTTGTTTGATTAGATATTGTGTGTTGTAAAAATGTTTACAACATATTATAAAGTTGTATTCTTATTATGAATTTCGCAATTGCAATTACGAAATAAAATTGACGTTAAATATAATTTATGTCAAAATTTCTTTTGCCAATTTTTTTAAGCTTTCTAAAGCTTTAAAGATTTTTGTATTTTTTGTGTTGAATGCGTTTTGTCAAAAATATGATAAAACCTAAAAAAATTTTTATTGTAGTTTTTAAATTTAAAACGGAATACTTATACTTTTTTAAACGTAATATGTTATAAAATCAATTTAGCTAAATTTTTATTTAATAAACTTCATAAATAATGTAAAATCGTAACAATGTGTTTTCTTTCAAAACTAATAAAAATGACATATCTGAAAAAAATATTTTTTTATCTTGTTGTTTGACAATTAGTATTTGGAATTGCAAACGCTCCTTAATGTTTTGATTTTAATGTAAAAGTGGTGTTGTGTGTAAATTTGTCAAATTTGTAAACAAATGGTTACTGTCAAAATAAATTATATGTAAAAATTTTGATAAAGTCATAACGTTAAGATTTTTAAGAAGTAATCATTTTTTTTTTCCAGGATAGAAAAATTTTTGGTCTTGTGAATTAAAAATTGAAATTTTGAATGAATTTTTTAATATTAAAATATGTCTACAACATTTTCAATAAGGATTCGCCAAGAAGGTCATGCGAATGCTCTTGCCCTCAATAAGGATTGTACGCAAATTGCAGTCGCCGGACGATATTGTAAATTGAATTTTTTTAATCTGTCATGTAAAATCTTATATCTATTCTTTTAGTATTGAAAATATTTTCTATTGAGCCTGATGGATTTAATGAAGTATGTAATATGCGTGGAGCTAAAAACCACCAAATTCATCCATCAAATGATATTGTTTGGAGCCATGTGGATTCAAATATACTAGCCACAGCAGCCACAAATGGTGTGGTATCAGTTTGGGATCTTTCGGTTTGTCAAAAATTTTTTAATTTGTATTAAATTAATAAAGTATTGCGTTTGTAGAGATTTGGCAGACAAAAACAGTACTTAGTTTATAATGAGCATGAGAGAACTACTCACACAGTCACATTTCATAACACAGAACAGTTATTGCTTTCTGGATCTCAAGATGGGACAATCAAATGTTTTGACTTAAGAGTTGATAAATCGGTCTCAACATATTTTAGTAACACTGAAGGTGTGCGAGATGTAAAATTTAGCCTTCATCATACGAATAACTTTGCAGCAGTGTCTGAGAACGGAATAGTTCAACTTTGGGATATTAGAAAGTATACTTTCACTTCATATGTAGTTAATAGACTGAGTTTTTGAATTAAAAAATTCTTTAGACCAGATAAGTGGATTTTAAATTACACTGCTCATAGCCAGCCTGTGTACACATGCGATTGGCATCCTACAAAAAATTGGTTGGCAACGGGAAGCAGAGATAAAAATATAAAAGTCAGTCTTAATTATTAGAAAATTAAGTTACGTGCATACACATCTTATATTTTAGGTATGGAGTATGGAAGGGAAAGCATCGTTGGAATACACAATTCCAACTATGGCAGCGGTTTTGAAAATTAAATGGCGTCCTGATAAAATGTTTATAATTTAAAAAAAGTTTAATTATTTAAATTTACAAGAAATATTTTTAGACACCAAATAGCAAGTTGTGCGTTATTGAGAGATTATAGTGTCCATGTTTGGGATATTAGAAGACCTTATATACCATACGCTTCATTTAATGAACATACTGATATAATAACAGGTCTTTCTTTTAAAGGAAATGACGCAAATACACTTTTTTCTACAAGTAGAGACTCAACAATATTTCACCATGTTTTTAGTGATGCTGTATATCCAGCGCTCAAAACAAATAACCATGGCGCTGCCTTGAATATTAAAGGTGATATTCTTTATGCAGATAAAATTAAAATCGCAAATCCATCTCCGACAAGTAGCTCCAAAAATTCGTTTGCTGGCTCAAATCGATCAAAATCAACTATAATTGAAGAGCAGTTTCTCATGGCTCAGTCATCGTTAAATAAATTCATTCTTAAAGCTACTGTAATATAAACTAGTTTTGTTTTCCAAAAAATTTTATTAAAATTTTTTCAGTATAATGGATTTTCAGAAGATAATAAAGTAAGAACTCCTTTAAAAGAATATCAGTGTTTTGTAGGCTGTGCTAAAGAATACATATTAAAAGACGATACGTTAGAAAATATATGTGACCATAACGCAAAAATTTCAAAAAAATATGGTAAACACAATGTAAGTCATAATTTTCTTTTTGTTATTGTAAAATCACGAGTACTTATCAACTTTAACAGGCTACCACTCTATGGACTTTTATAAAAAGATTTTATGCGTCAACTGACTTTGTATACAAAAAGAAGGAAACACGAAATTCACTTTCTACTCAAAATTCTTTAACAAGTCGCAGAATGACACAAGTTGCAAATCAACCATTATTGCAATGGGGTAATGAGGAGTGTAAGGATGATAAGCAATCTGAAAGTGATGATGGAATTGTGTTAGATGACCCTAAAATTATGGATTTTATAACGCCAAAAAATGGAGAATCTAAACCCCTCTTCAGTAATGCATCTCAAACAGGGCTAATAATATTTGAAAAATCTCAAATAACTTCAGATAACTTTAAAAGTTTGAGAGATGGTTTTTTGTACGTTGGTACTCATCATCATACTAAAGGACTTATATTTCCAGAAGCAGACTTACATGATTTACAAAATACCTCAAAACAACAACAACAACAAGCTATAACTAATAGTAATGAGAGCAGGGAAGAAACGACACCGGTAAGCTCATAATTTTTGCAAATTTTATTAATCCACACAAAAAAAAATTGTAATATTTTAGCCCCCTAATCCTCCAAATACATTGAAATTAAGTACAATTCCACAAATACCAATGTGGGAGCCTCATCAAGTTATGACAGAATGTCTGTTGTTACAAACTGAAGTTGGCGATGTACAAACATCTTTATGTATTTTAATAGCTATGGGAGAAAGTAGAAACTATTTGTCAATTGAAGAGGATTTAGTGGTATGTTTAATATTTTATAACTTTTAAATATTATTTATAACAATGCAACCGCAAATATTCTTTATAATTTTTCGGACATGTTCTAATACATGTATATAATGTATGCAATATAATAAGACTAAGATAAAACTAATTTCATAAACTTTTTTTTCAGGAGTATTGGTTTCATTCGTATATCGAAGAATTACATAGAAATCAATTGTGGAACGAAGCTGCATTAATAATAAATTTATCTTGGATAAAATCGGTTCGTACCCTAAATCAACAATCAACAACAGCACATACAGGATGTGGCGAATGTGGCCGCGCAATCGAATCAGTCGTTGGGTGGTATTGTTCCAAATGTAAGACTACCTCAAAATGTTGTGTTTGTGGTTTAGTTGTGAGAGGATTATATGCATGGTGTCGCGGATGCTCTCACGGGGGTCATATAGAGCACTTAAAGCAATGGTTTTCGGTTCAAGAGAAATGTCCTAAATGCGGACATATGTGTATATATGATTAAAATTTTTATTAATTATATCAATTTACATTTAGATTTGATAGATAAACTTAGTTTTATTTTAATTTATAAAAAAGAGTTATAGATTGTTAAAAAAAAAAAATGAAAAAAACTGAAATTTAGGCATTTTTTTATATTTTTATTATATGTATAAATAATTGATAATATTAAAGGAATCTTTTTTTTAATCAAATTTGTTTCAATTTTTAACAGGAACAGGTTATAGTGTAAAAAAACTTTTGTCTTCTTCTCGTCTGTGAGTGAAAATTCGAAACATACAAGTTAAACTAAAACTCGTAACCGTAGTTTGTATTTTATAATTTTAATAAAACCTTTGGATTTTCCACTTTATTAAAGAAATTTGCTGGTACATATTTATGTTGGAACATTACGTTATTACATTATTTTGAAGTATAATCCTCAAGTGCTCCTCGATAAGAATCAAATTGAAAAAGTTTTTTTTTGAAAATATTAAAAACACGTTAAAAATTTATAATTAATAGGACTTTATTAAGTGTATTTTTTGTATATATATTCGTATAATTATATGTTTAATAATTTTTATTCATTAATAATTAATATTTTTTTTTTCCATAATACAAATGATCATTACATATTTAAGCATCCATTTCGCATTAAGAGTATGGATGTTACAAAAAATGTATGGTTTTTGTCTCTTTCAATTTATTTTATATAATTTATTATTTAGTTTCCTTTGTTTTTTATTTTATTTTATTTATGTTTAATTATTATATATTTCAATGTGGTTAAATAAATTTTTTTTTACTTATATGAATTTTTTTCACAAAATTTATAATCTGGGTTTTTTTTATCTCTTGAAAATACTTCTATTTTTATTGTAAACTTTTTGTTGTCTTGTTTCTATATAAATAACGTGTTTATTTTTTTTTTTGTTTTTATTAATCTTATATTTTTACGGTCATATTTCTTTATTTATTTCTGTATATATTTTATTATATTTATATATTTATATTTACATTTCGGTGAAAATTATTAAAATAATTAATTTATAATATTTTTATCTTATTTTATTATCAATTGTAAAAATTTTTTAAAATCATAATTTTTGATATTTATGATATTTATTATAGACGGTTTTAAGAAATTAAATTGAATAAAACTAAATACAAAAAAAAAAACAAACAGTTCCTTTCCACTGAATAACAAAAATTTTAGAAAAACATTATAATATTAATATTTTGTACGTATATAAGGTAAAATTGAAATAAAAAATGAAATTTCATAAATTCGGATAAAGTACTATGTTTTTAATTATATTAAAATAAGCAAATTATGTAAAAAAATATACATAATTATGTTGATACATAAATTTATAATGATAGAATTTATAAATCTTCTTTGTTTGTAAGACTATTTTTAATTAAAACATATTTTTTCCAATACTATGCACATTAAAATGGGTCTAAATCACTTAATTCAGCTTTTGTCTTTTATATAGAATCAGATTTTTTTCGCATTTTATAAGAAATTTATAAGTTTTCTTTTAATAAACAAAATAATTGCTGGGTCTATTAAATTTAATTTTTTGTTTGTGTAGTTAAGTCGTTGTTTAGTATACAATATATTTAAAAGATAGTTAAAAAAATTCGTACCTCTTAATCAATATCATCATACAGGTCCTTCTGAATCATCTGTTGATAAAGATATGAACTGTTAAAAAATTGTAAATGTACATTTAATAAACAAAATCGATTGGTAAAATTCCGTATTTCGAATTTTATTAAACTATATGAAATATTATATAAAACTTAAATTTTTAGAGTATTTAACGAATTCTTCGAAACATTTTCACAAAATTATATATTTAATTGTTTTGTTTTTTTAATTATTTTATTTTATTTAGTGTTCTGGCCTTTATTTAATTAATATATATATATATATATATATATATATATTTTTTTTTTAAATTTTGCATTGATCGCATTGTACAGTCTGAATAGAAAAACAAGAATTATAAGTATGTTGTATATGCTGTATATGCAATTTATTAATTTAATTGAAGAAAAAAAAGTATTTAACATATTATTAATTAAATTGTTTAGAAATCAATATTAAGTTGTATTTCAAATTTATTTTTTTTTATAAACAAATTTGTTTGCATTTGAACATTTCTTTAATTTCATCTTAGTTATATTTGCAATAAAACTGAAAAAATTTTAACCTGCAAAATATGTTTGGAACTTTCCCTTTTTCAAATAATTACTTTTAGAAACCATGTTCGTTAAAATAAGAACAAATTTTTTTAAAAAATGTCATCAGTTTCACAATTTCTTGAATAATTACTAATAAAATCGCAGCAAAATAGGAATTAAATTATAATAACGTTAGTTACTCAGTTATTTGTAGAGAATTTTAAATTAAAATTAAAAATTACAAATTAAAAAAAAACTGCGATAAACTAATATAGTACGAATAAATCAACTAAAATAAATTAGAGATTTTTAAATATATTTAAAAATATTATTAAGTAAATTAGTTTAGCTACAATTAATTTACTATAAATTGATTTAAAATAAATACTTTAAAATTTTTTAATATTAAAAAAATAAAAATTTACTTGAAAATAAAAACTTATTAATTGCACATACATATTTTTTTTTTTTTGATGATTATAATTAATATATTTAAATAGTTTTCTTATACATAATATTATAAAATAAAAAATTTTTAATTGTTAAATCTTTACTTATTTATTTTTTTGGCCTATACGTTTCAAAATTAGAATATAATAAAATTTTTTTAGAAATATTTTCATTTTATAATGATTTTTATATAATAATTGAAATTATTTAACAAATAATTCAAATGATTTTTTTAATTAAATTTTTATATGTTATATGTATAATTAATGTACTTATATAATTAAATCTGATTATTAATTTAAAAAGTTTTCTTTTCTTTTTAAAACCTCTTTGAGATTTCACAATATATTTATATATAATATAGTAAAAATATTAAATTAAATTTTCTTTTTAGTATCTTTTGCTTTTTGGTTTTTCTTTAGTGTTAAATTTAAATTAAAATTTTATAACTACATACATATTATGTGATAAAAATTGCTTTTATACAAGAATTTGGATAATTGGATACAATTCATTTTTATTTATATATTTAAGTTATTTGTATATTTTATATATAATATAATATGTATATAATTTTTATGTATCAAAGTAAAATAAAAAAGAATGTAATCAAATAAAATTTGTATATAAATTTGGAACTTGTTAAAATATTTAACAAATTATTGTTGAGAGTGAAATAAAACTCAAGTTTTACAATTAAATAAATAAATGGGGTTTAAATTTTTATATAATATATTAATTATTTATACAATGTACATAAACGTAAATATTTTAATACTGTTATATTTTTATATTAATAATTATGTACGAATTAATAATGAATTTCACATGAGTTGTTTTTTTTTTTTTGTTATTTATAACTTATATAACTTAATACTTATTATTAATGGATTATTATTAAATAAAATAATAGTATTGTTGACAAAATTTTATGAAAAAATAATAATAAATTTTTAATAATATTTTTTGCTTTTTTTTTCTTTTAATTTTGGATTATGTTGCTGGGGTAATTATTATATTAACATGTTTTTCTTATATTGTTGTTTTTGATATATTTTTTGTTCAAAATTTTATAAAATGTTAAAAAAAGAAATAAAATTTTTGGTGACAATAATTATTTTCTATTCTATGATTATATAATATGTAAATATTTTATTTATTTTCCTTTGGTTTTTGTTTGAGTTTTATTTCGGTTTTTATTTTTTAATTTTTTTTTTTAAATATTTTTTAATATTTTCAGTAATTTTTGTTTTATATTGTTTTATTATCTTTTTGAAATGAAAAGAAAAACAACAGCCTCGTTTATTAATTCTTACATAATATGTATTTTATTTTTTAATTATATTTTTAGTTTTTTTTTTTTTGTAGTGAGTTTTATTTTTCTCAGTGTAAAATATTTATTTATTTGTTTTGTAAAAAAAAAGGAAGAAAAACTATGAAAAGAAAAAAAATTTAACAATGAAATTTTCAATATTATAGTACATGTATAAATGTATATATATATATATAATATTATTATATGTATAATGTATAACAAATTTAATTTATTATCATTATAATAATATGTGTATTTTTAAATTGCTGTTTTTTCCTTTTGGTATATTATTTTATTTTTATATACTTTCATTTTAATATAAATTTTAATTTTAAAGTAATTGCACAATAACTGGATCCAAAAGACACATATGCTCAGCACCACGTACTGGTAAACGATTTATACAAAAATGTCTTATCATTTCTGGTACTGAATCAAATGGTCGACTAAATTGACCCAAAATATATTGATTTGCTTCATTACGTTGTATTCGCATATGCATAAAACCTTTAGCTCCCCTAAAAATATTATATTTTTTTATAATTATATATATTTAAAAACATGTATGCATGTGTATTATAGCAATTAATGCATAAAATATACAAATAATTAAATTTAATATTATGTGTTTATAAAATATTTATGTACAACACCCAAGTAAGTTTAAAATTGGAAAAATAAAACTATATATCAATAAATAATATCACCCACATACTTTAAAGATAATGAATAATCCTGTTTAGTTGATTCACAATTTCTTACTAAAAAACTTCCTTCACTTAAAGGTCTTAATGTTGATTCAGCTTCAAGTCTTGTTATTGCTCCATGGTACCATCTTAAATAATGTTAAAAATAAAAAACAATTATTTTTCAAGTTTATCATTTTTTTGTTTTTTTTTTTAAATTTTATATATACCCTTGTCTTTCTAAAGGTATGGTAACATCAATTAGATCAACAGCTGATTGATATCCTATACCAGATGAGCTTAAATTTAAATTTAATCCTTTTAAATTAGGTGCACCTCTTAGATCGAGACTACCAAATTTATGATTATTTGCTGATTTAATTTCATTAAAATTTAATGTTAAATTTTGACGAAATAGATTTCCTTCTGAAAAATAAATTTTTATCAAATATTAGTAACTATATAACTATAAATTTAATTTTATAAAATTTTTTTTTCTTTTGGCTAATTATAATTAGTTTTCGTTAATTAATCATTAAATTAACATTAATCAAATTCTCTTTTATATGGGCAAAAAAATTATTTTGTGTAAAGGTGTTAGAGCTAGAGTTTTTTTTTTTGTGGTCACGTATTTAATATTACAAGATTTATTAGAAAATATTCAGATGTTACAAGATTAATACGAATATTATTTACAAAAATATTTAGCACATTTTAACATATGTACGTACATATTTATGTGTAATTTATTCTCCCCTCTTAAATAATAATTTTTTTTTTATATAATTATTTCTTAGGGAAAGAACTGAGTAAATATTTTAACATGTTCTTAGTGTTATTACCAACACATTCTAAAGTAAAAAATTTTCAAATCAAATTATGTATAATAATTAAGTTTATATTATGTCGGACATTCGCACTCGTTGGCAAATTAATCGTCCATATCAAATAGTTATTGATTTTATATTTTTTGGCTAAGTGCACCTGTTACCAAAAAAAAAAAAGTGATATATTTTATTTTTGAGAAGCACGACTTTTTTTTAATAAACTTTTTTCTAATTATTTATAAATTAACTTATTTGCTTTTATGTAAGATTAAAGTATTAAAATGTTAGCTGAATTTTTTGCAATATTGTAAGGCGTAAAAATTTCTATATGTGCATGTATAAAATTATTTTATGTTATGTATGCATGTTAAAAAGGGATTATTGATTTTATGTTGTAATGATGAATTGGTTTAATTTTAATTTAAGACAATAATAAGTGGTCAAAAGATTGATTGTATTACAGAAATAATCACGTACAGTTAACGTAAAATATTTTTAATGTACCCAATTAAAAGAATAAAATATGGAAAGTAGAAAAAAAAAAATTAATATAAAATAATATCGAAATTAAAATTACAAATACATACATACATATATATATATATATAAATATATACATTTATCTCAATGATTAACTGTCATTGAACAACATTTTACTTTTATTGTGAATGGTGAGTTTTATTTGATTTAATAATATTGAAGTTATTATAAAAACTGTTTTAGCTTTAGCAATACTCAGCCCCTGTGCATTATATGTTTATTGTAATTTAATGTAGGTATGTACAATACTGTGCCGTACATTATGTTATTTACAACACGTATACGTTGTTTTCAATACTTTATTATGACTTTTCAAAAATGATAAATACGTAAATATTATTATAAAAATTTCCCCACACCATATTTCGGAATCGGAATTTAATGGTGTAGTATTGAAAAGTATTTTATGCACATTTATATAATATGTTATACGATTATGACAAGTTGGGATTTATGTAATACACACACACATAAGTGCATATTTGGTTAACATTTTAGTATAAGAAAATATTTTTGACGTAGGTACTTTGAATTAATTTTATGATGAAGGTATTGTCAACTAAATATGTTGATGATATATTTTGACATATAATATGATTTGTTTAACTATAGTAAATTTAAATTTTTATATCATAAAGATACAATGAATGTACATAACTATATTTGACGTAATAGTAGTATAATTGTAAAATTTAACTTATTCATACATACTAAATTCTTTTAAAAGTTAACTGTCACTATAAAATGTTGTTGTAGTGTGAAAGTGTATTGAATTTAAAACCGCATACAAGGATGTTGATGACAAGAAACATTTTTAAAAAATTTAACAGTTTATGCACTACTTTTGTGCAATCGTTTTAACAAAGAAAGAATGGTAATGATAATAATTATATTAGATATTTTTTGCTAAAACATCAAAATTATTTCCGAAACGTGATCCAAAATCAAAAAGAAACAAAGCAGTACAATTGTTATATAAAAATTAAAATTCTTTTTATTTACCTAAGCCTGGTTTTTGATCAACAGAATGACTTGATGATGCTTGTGATATACCGCTAGATTCGGTACTTTGAACTATTAAATTATTTATTTGTTGTTGCTGTTGGCTGTTCATTCTTAAGCGCCTTCTTAATTTTGGCATATCAAATGGAAGATCTCCTAAATCAACAGAAGTTGCACTACCAGAAGTACAAACATCCTACAAATTATATAAAAATAAAATATCAAATGTTGAAGCCATGAAAGAAATTTCAAAAAAAAAAATGTATTCTAACCTGTTGTAGAATAATTTTTCTTCGTCTCAATTTTGGCATATCAAATGGAAGATCACGTAAATCTTGTGGTAAACCTATACTAACAGAATTAACTCCAGAATCTGGTAATTTTTCCGAAGCAGAAAAATTTAATTTTGGTAAACCAAAACGATGAAAAGCACTTTGAATTTTATTATCTTCTCTAGAATGTAATGATATTCCACTATCCGATCCTAATATTTCATCAGTTAACATTAAAAGTGCTTTATTTTGTGGTATTCGTTTTTTAACTTGTTTTTGTATACTAGGACAACCGCCACCACCACCGCCGCCACTACCAACATTATTTATATTATTACTGCCATTTCTATCGTTTGTATTTGTATTATCACACGTTTTTTGTTCTTGTTCTTGTATATTACTTAGTTGCCCAATTTTAGTGCCATCTTCTCCATTATTTAAACCACCTGGTGGCGTTTGTTTTTTATTAAATTCTGAAGCATCAGAAGCCGGTTCCAATGAAGATTTGTCCGATATTGGACTTAGGATATGCAATTTTGAATGTAATAGTATTGGAGCTCTTAAAGGAAACGCTACACTAGTACCCGACTCAGAGCTATGTGAACTCAACGATGTTGAATGCCTTGACTCTGAGCTGGTAGTGCTACGATTCCCTTCACTTGTACTTGAACGTAAAGATTCCATACTACCACCACTACTTGATGTTGCCATACTTTCTGTTGAAGAATAATTTATTGTTGTTGTTTTATTTATGTGTGGTTGGTGTTGTGTTATATTTGGATTTTTTTGAATATTTACTTCTGTTTTCGTATTATGTATGGTAACACCGTGGTGATGGTTATGGTGATGATGCCCTCCATTACTATTCATTGTTTTATGAGCACTACCTGTTCTTAGTTCTAGTACTCGTCCAGACTCTAATACAACAATAGAACGAGGCCTGTCTCGAGTTCTAGACATTGATGAATGGGTAGAAGATTCTGTTACGACCATTTGCCCAGTTCCCGAATCTAAAAGACTACTGGCATTACTACCAGTTAACAAATTATTTACGGAATCAGATTGTGCCGTTCCAGCAGAATCTTCAACACTTGCAGATAAACCTAATTGCTGTTGACGTAACGATTTTATTGGAAGACGTAAATCTCTAAGTCTTGGATGGGCCGGATTTGAAGATGGTAAACTTGGAGCACTTTTTATACTATTCATAAAAAAACGATCATGTTTTCCAGGAAATTTAACGGGTAATGGAGCTGTTGAAGGCGGTGATGGTGTATAACCACGTGTAGGTAACTGTGAAACTGATGTAGTTGCTGTTGCTTCGTTTGTTGTATTGTTCAGTTGATCAACACTGTTATTATCAATATGAATATTTTCTAATTCGTTTGATAGTGTTTGAATACTACCAATAGCATTTTTATTACTGCCATTGTCTTGTTGAATTTGCTGATTTTTAGTATTTTTTTGACGTTTACCTTCATATCGTAATTTATTTGATTTACTAGTCTTTAAAGATTTACTCTTTAATTCAAGTGGTGGTTTTGTTTTCAAATTATTACCGTTTTCTATTTCTAAAAGGGCATTATGACTAGTTAAACGTTCCACAACCTCATCTAAATCATCATCAGATTTTGGCACTTTACAATCGAATGCCGTTTCATATATTTGTCTAGTACGACCGCTACCACCAGTACCTGTACCACCACTTGACATGTTGTCTTCTTCGTTTGTATGTTGTTCTCGTCCACTTGATCTAGATCGGATTGATCTATTAGATTTATTGGATTTATCGCTTGATAAAGTTGCAATAGGGGTTACATTTGTTGTATTATTTTGATTAATTATGTTTGATCGACCACTACCGGTTGTACCGGCAGATCCGGGACCTGGAATACAATCTGCGCATTCGTGAACACCCTGCGGATGAACATAAAACACGCTTCTTGGACGAAAATATTCATCCATGTCATCGTTTAAAGTAGCTGGTGCAGTACATGCACATACTGTTGGACCTAGTATTCTATGTGGAGGCATTGATGGATCACAAGGATCACCACTAGCACCACAATTTCCTAATATATTTACCGATTGTAAATCAACACCGTTTCCACTTGATTCAATAAAACCACCTACTTGTAAAGGTTGATTAGCATGTACATTACAAGTTTTGCGAACTAAAGCTAAAGCTTTAGCATGCCATTCACGTCTTTGTTGACATTCACTACAATCTGAATCATCTGATGTTGTTGTGGATGGTGATGTGCATCTTATAATACGAACACCGTCTTCGGTTATTGAATATCTTCGAGAATGATTTTCAGGTGTTGGCAATGTTTTATGTAGTCTTTTTTGTTTTGTTGCCGTAGATGTTTTTTGTTGTTGATGTTGTTGTTTTTGTTGTTCTTGACAATGTTGTCTTTGTTCTTGTTTATTTGTCTCTGAAGATATTACACATTCATTGGAATTAACTGATTCATTAGTTTCAGGAACATCTAAACTTGTGCTTTTACGATATGGTGTTTGTGTTTCAGTTTGTGCGGTTTGCGGTGGTTCTGAAGCTGTTGATTGACGACACTTTGTTTTCTCTTCTTTAGTTTCTTCCTTTTCTTTAGATTTTAAAAGATCAGAATAATAATATGGTGAAGGATTACGTTTATGAACTTCTGGTATTCCAGTTAAACGTTTTGGACTTTTATATGGTTGCAAAGGATGTACTAAATCTTCTGATATACTATCTGGTGAATTAAGTTCTGGAACTTTTCTAGATCCTAATTGATTGTCATTCGTTTTATTATCATCATCATCTGCTGAAGATTTTGGTGCCGATGAATCTATTAAATGGAAAATAAGAAATTTTAAGATTAAATTTATTGGAAAATTGCTTTTCATTTTTATTGCAATTAAAATGTTGTTTTGTAAAGTGGCAGTTTTTGCAATTATATTTACAATTCAAAATAACTTTTGAAAATTTTCAAAAAAAATAATTTTCACAGATTTTTCATTTTGAGTGCTCTTCGTTTTTGAAAGAGATTTTTTCAAATATCATGATTTTCCATACGAAATATTTTTGAAATTTCTTCTTTCAACCACTTGTAAAGTAATTAAAAAGTGAAAGTGTACACCTCAACATTTACGTTTTTACAACTCAATTGAATTTTTATTCAATATTGATTTTTTTATTAATTAAAAATAAAAATTGCAAAGAAAAATATAAATCGCGTAACTGAGAGTTTTCATGTACAACTTATCGCGTTCTTATTCAGGAATTGGTCATAAACAGTACAATATTCATAAACATTTGTATTTATACACATTTCTATAGAATGGTATGTACATAGAGCATACTTTTAGGAGTTGTTGCATTTCAAGTTGGGATTTTTTTTTAATTTTTTATTATAGCTATTAAAATTCATTTATGATTTGACAATGAAAAATTTTCAATGACAAATTATTACTTTAATTTGAAAAAAAAATTGGTGTTTAATCAATTAATTTTAACATTACCACTTTTAATCTGAACTACGATACATACACTAAAAGACCAATCTTCTGCAATCTCTTAGAGAAGAAACCTTTTATTCTTTAATTCACTATATTATAAATTTTTATTCTTCTCTTCTTTTCATTCAATTTTTAAGTAAATTTTTATGAGATGTTAAAAATTTTTATAGTATTCTATTAAAATGGGGGGTTTGCAAATTTAATGTAAATTTTCTTATATTTGAAAAAGAAAAAACTTGATAAACTTTATGTAATTTTGCATAAAAATTAACAATGGTTTTCTCCCCTACTTTGTTTTTTTTTATTTAAATTTTAGCAAATAAACATATTTAGAATAAATTTATTTTAACTACATGCTTGAACAATACAAAATTATATACGGTAATTTATGTTAAACTTGATTCAAAAACCTATTAAAATTTTGTCAAAATAAAGTGCAAATATTTTATTGACTAGACAAAAAAATTTCTTTTTTTTTATAATGGGCTATTAACAACTTTTATTAACGTGCTTATTAACTGAATGATGGTATATAATTTTACACTTTTTTATGCTTAAATCAATAAAAATAATTTTGGTAATTTTTTCACTCTACTTATGTAGATTCGGTAGAGTAAAATGTGAAATTATCACATGGTTCAAGTTTTCTATTTTTATGAATAAAATTAAAACAAGTTTTTTTTTCTCTAATGATGTATAAATTTAAGCACAATTAAATTTGAGTATATTGTATTAGTTCAATAGATTTTGATTACATTCCTGATTGCTCCTGAAAATAAATTTATTCCAATAATTCAAATATTAATTGAATATAAGAGTGTAAAAAATGAAATTTTAAATAATATTTAATTTATTATTTTTTGCTATAGAATGGAATAAATTTACTTAGAGTTTTGTAAATTTTTAAACAATTTTCATTTATACTATTGAACAATATGAATTTGTAATAAATTTTGCATAGTTTTAGGGGCAAAATTTTATTTTGTATAAGAAAAAATCCTTTTAATCAAATCATATTTAAAATTATGTTAATTAATTTAATTCTGATTAAATTTGCTTGTGTTTCCTTAAAAAATTAAAATCAATTTTAAAAATAATTTAATTTTATTTTAGTAAGTAATGAAATAATTCAAAAAAAATTCGCTTAAATACTTGCAAATAAATTTTACTTTAATTACAATTTCTCTTATGGAAATTATAAAAATAAAGATAATCAAAAAATATTAGTGAAAAATGTGACCAGCAAAGAGGAAAAAGGGAGAAAATTAAAAAAAAAAAGAGAAAAATAATTAAAAATATTTTTCCTTCCTATTTTTTAAATTTTTCTTTTTTTTTTTTTTGGGGAATACAATTTCCTTTTTTTCGTATATAATTTGTATTTTTTGTCCTCAAAATTAATTATTTTCCTGGCTATTATTACAAAGAAATCATTAAAAAATATAACGAAAACATTTGTAAAAGAAAAAATGAAATTTTTATTCGCTAAAAAAAAAAAATTAATATTCAGTAGACCCTTTAAATGTACTCAAACCATATTGGAGTGAAAGTAAAATAGAAATTTTTTTTTCGTTAACATAGGATATTATGGTTTTCATTGTCATCAGAATCATTTATTTCTGTATGCTCATTCCAGAGTATAGTTAGTTTAGTTTGAATGAGAGTAATTGCTGATAACTTGGCTTACATATGTGTACTTAACGTTTTGTATGTAACCTTTTTTTTTTGTATTTATTTTTACATATTTGCATATAAACGACGAACCCAATTCGCGTTTTCTGTTTTCAATTATTTTTAGTTTTTCTTTATTTACAGATTTATGAAAAAAATTTATAGATGAATAAAATGGATTTTAGATGAAAAATTAACGTCTGTCTGTGATTAAATAGAATTTATTTGATATTGCGATTTATAAAGCGAATATTTTTATTGAAGCCTTACATTGAAATTTTTTATGTAATATTTTTCATATTAATAAAAAACTGATTCGAAAAATATTTTCGATTTAGTGAAAATCTGAATAATAAATTTTCGACACTTCGAATTGATCAAAAAATTAAGTTAAAAATATGGGTAAGATTTAGATTTAAAATTTATGTAACTGTTCTTCTGATTTTCTAAGTTAATTGCAGCTCCTATAAGTATTTCTTTTATTTCCTACTCCTATTCAAATTATTCAAAAACAAAAGCGAGCTTTGTTCCACAAGGGAAATAAATTAGCCTCGATTTGGAAATTTTGGATGGATTTGCATTTGAAATTAGAAATTTTAAATTTAAATTTGGAAAATTTAAAATTTCAACTTTACTGGATTTTTTGTAATAAAACAACATACAATCTTTTGTTTGTTATGAGGAGTATTCAATGACTTTTTGCAAATAAAAGGAAATTATTTCTTTGATTTCCGCAAGCCAACTGAATGTAAAAAGAAATTTGAAAAGTGCTGGACCCCAATTATAAATATGGTAAAAAATTCCTGTTCCATTTTATACTTTGTTTTCACTATTTTTAATGTTTGCTGAGTTTGCATCATATAAAATACAGAATCTGTCCATACAATATGTTTATGGTGCGGTTAAAATTATAGTCTTGAATATTTTTGCGCTTTTTTGGAATTTATTTTATAAAAAGAAATTTTTTTTTCCTATTTTAGTTTGCTATTTCATTTGGTTTGCTTTTTCATTCTTTTTTAATTTTAATGGTTTATATCTCACTCTAGATGTCGTTGTTTATCATTTCAAAATTGCATATATAAAGTATTTTTTGTTCTCATTCTGCTCGTATAAACTGTTGTCACTGGTGTACAGGCTGTTTTTAGTCGATACGGTTATCTTTTTTTCCTGTGTTTTTTCTACTACATATATTATATGTTTTGAATTGTTGTGTGTATATTGAAAACCATTCATTTATTTAATTTTTATTTGGTTCCTTTATTTTTGGGTTCTAATTGGGCCACCTTTCTCTTTTTACATTGAATAATATCTATTTTCATTCTTTATCTGTGTTCAGATTGTAGAGTATAATCTGAAATGAGTTTTTGGTTATACAAGGATTATAATATAGTATCTGTATACCGTAGTATATTTTATTATTATGTGTGTATAATTATTTGTTTTCAATAACTATGTAACTGATAAGAATGTAATATAAAAAATTTCTATTATAACGTATTTTAAGAGTTAGAAAAAATCATTTCGTAGCGTCTGACGCCCATTAGAACTAACACTTTTAAAATACAGCCCTTCTTAGTTTTTTTCGGGTGTTTCGAATATTTTGGATGTTTTTTTTGGACCGTGCAAAAGTGGTGAGAATAAGAAATTTTCAAAATTAAAAAATTTAATTTTAATTTCTTGAATTTGCATAGTTATAGAAAACTATTGCAAAATTACAGTTTTATGTACTTTAATACTAATTTCTTACAGTTGTATGTGGGGATAAAGATTCTCGTTTGTCTTAGGTCTCTGTAAAAACTAAAGAGAAATTTAAAATTTCACACTAGAAAATCGACACTTTTTTTTTTCTTTTTTTTTTTTTTCTTTCCCGGGAACCAAGGCACTTGAGCCCTTCTTACATCGACCCATAGAATCTTATATGATTCCCATCACCATCTACATTAGGCCTACACCTAGGTCCCTGACAAACGGCAGTATTGTAGCCACATCAAGCTACGAGATCCTCTCCGGGGTCACAAAGACCCCACCACTCCTCCTCCGCTCGAAGCGTCTCAGTCGCAAACAAGCAACGTCTCGTACTCACACAGTAAGTGCTCCATGGTTTCGTCCTCTTCCAGACATAAAACACCACTCAGGAGGTGAAAGAAGGCCTTCTCAATCAAACTTCTTCTTATATGAATAGACATATGCACCAAAATGCTGTCAGAATATTGAATATGCTGGCTTTTATCAAAATACTAAATAAGAATCTTGCAGAAGCAAAAGGCGTTACGTTGAATTCTTTGGTTCCCATTTCAACTTATTTTATTTTTTAGCCGCGATTTTTTTTTCCAAGTATACATGTACATAAACATATACGTATATAAGCAATGCTGTTTTGAAAGGATAAATGGACGATATTTTTTTTCTGTTTTATTTATTATAATAAATGCTCTAGACATGTCACAGTTACCGATTATTATAGAAGCAGTGTCATACTGTTTAATAATTATACCGCATATTGCGGCTACTGGACTTGAAACAAAAAAAAAATTATTTTTTTTTTTTTATATATTTTTTCCTTTTTTTTTTCTTTGAATATGACATGTTTAAAGAATGCTTTTGACATTTGAATGATTTGTTTTATTATAATATGTGCTTGATATATACACGAATGATAGCT